TCTCTCCAGAGAGGGGGATCTGTGCCATTTGATTGCTTTGTAGCAACAGGTGTGCTTGGCTCAACACAGGAGAAGTCTCATGCTGTCTCTTCAATTATGCTCCTTCCCCTGGGCTGGCAGCTACTTCTGAGATCAGCCTCCTCCCCTGCTGAGCTGAATTTTAGCAATTTATTTTGTACAGTAGAGGTGTCTAACTTGATCAAGCTAAATCTTTTTCCAGGCTAAATCTTGATCAAGCTAAATCTTTTTTTTCCTAGCACATGCATGCACACAGGCTGTGCATGCTTTCTTTATCCAACTTCTGCCAGGTTTTTTTTTTTAGGAGGGGGATACACTTTTTCTTAAAGATGTTGCTCATGACACTGTCAGGCATGTGCACCTTAGTAATTGCATGGGGTGGTGGGGGACACGTGCACTAATGAGAGAAGCCTCAGACAGTGACAATGGCCTTTCCACATAGCTCTGAGAACAACCAAAGCACACTCAGAAACTTGAGAACGGCAGCTCAGGGCATTTACTAGGACTTGATCATAAGCAGCAAACTGGGGCATCTTTCCTATAATTTAATTAAAAAGTGTTGTAACAGTACCCTGCTAGGGTGGGGTATGAATGTTTATCTGCTAGGACAGGTCCACCTCAAAACCTGAGGCCAGTTCAAGAACCCAAACAAAACACTTCTCTCTGAACCCACATTTCATGGTCCATGTGAGAGATGCTACCTAGACCTTTGTAGGATTTTATTTTTTTGCCTGATAGGAAGGCTTAAAACAATGTACTCCTTCACAAAACTTTCCACAATACCAGAGGGTATTAAATCAGTGACACACATGAGCTGCTAAGGAAAAATCATACCAAAAATGTCACTTGCCCTTCTTTTTGCCCTTTGTCTGTAGTTTACGTGGAAAATCTAGTACCTCGTTGCCCTTGGAAAGACTGATTAGCAGTCCAAAAATGGGTATGCCAAAGGCACACTGGAAATTTTCTTCCAGTTATTCAAAAAATCAGTGAACTACATAACTTGTAACAATGTTCTGTATTCTGTTTTAAACCACAGAGGAAAAAGGAAATATGTTGTTTATTTCAGTAATCAAGACCAGAGTTATTCTAAACTTTTGATGTCTTTACAGTAGAGGTCCCCAGCCCCTGGTCCACGGCCTGGTGCCGGTCTGTGGCCTGAGCCGGACCGGGCTGCGGAGATAGAACCTCCTGCCCCGCCCCCCCCACGGACTCACCCACACACAGCTGATTCGGCTAGTGCCGTACCGCCATTTGCCCATGTGCACAAGTGCAAGCGTGCCCAGACAAATGACATGCTGCCATTTGTGTATGCGCATGAGCACGTGTCCACACAAGCGCTGCACTGCTGTTTGTGCATGCGCACAAGTGCATGCTTGCCCACACAAGTTCCGCACTGCCATTTGCACATGCATTCGAGCGTGCGCTCATTTGTGCAAGGGAGCACGTGTGCTTGTTTGTGCATGCACATGAGTACAGGGGGGGCACCTTCCCCAGCTACAAGTTCCGCACTGCCATTTGCACATGCACTCGAGTGTGCGCTCATTTGTGCAAGGGAGCACATGTGCTTGTTTGCATGCACATGAGCACAGGGGGAGGCACCTTCCCCAGCTGGTCCACGGGGTGAAAAAGGTTGGGGACCACTGTGAGGGAGCTGAGCAGGGAAAGATGATGCAACCTTTTAATTCCTTGAAATATATAGTAGGAAAAGAGAAGGCTCTTTGAACCAGGGCTGGACAAGTTGTTGCCCTCCAGATATTTTCAGTCTGCAGCTCCCATCTTTCCTTACCATTGACACTGATGGCAAGGACTGAGAAGAGGTGCAAACAAAAAACATCTGGTGGGCTACAATTAGTCCACTTTTTGCTTCAACTGTACGAGTGCTATAATTCTCAAGTACTGTTGTGTCTTTGGAATTTACAAATGGGGAAGGCCAAAATACTGGATTTGTTAGTGTGAAAATTTAAGTTTAAATTTGTAAATGTCCCTAGTTGACCTTTGGTAAAATTATTTCTCCCCATCGAGTCTAATATAGAAAATTATTGTAACAAGAAAAATAATAAGCCCTCCTGTGCTGCCATAAGCTGCTCCTGTAGAAAAAGAGTATGGCATACATGTGAATGTGTGCACAGTCCTATACGATTACATACATGTGAATGTGTGCACAGTCCTATATGATTAAATATTTTGCGCGCACGCACACATACACAAACATTGCTGAAGATTTCTCTTCTTGAGCTAGGAAAAGAGCTGGGCTGCAATCCTTTCCACATCATGAATTAGTATTTGCCCCTTATACACACCTGCACCTGCAGCTCTTTGGCTCTCCAGATGGTTGGATCTATCATGAATTAGTATTTGCCCCTTATACACAACTGCATCTGTAGCTCTTTGGTTCTCCAGATGGTTGGGTCTATGCTAGAGATATACGAATATGAATATCCCTGCACAGGTGGCGTTAACAAGGGTCTAGCCCCATGGGTCCAGACAGTCCACTCACTGATCCGCCGCGGATGGCACCATGGGTCCAGACGGTCCACTCACTGATCCGCCACAGATGGCGCTATTCTATGAATGGCTCTGCAGCGCACAATCCGCTCGCTACTCCTGGTGGGAGGACAAGCATCGCTGCAAGGTCGAAGAGTGGCGAGCAGATCGCATGCTGCGGCGCCATTTGTAGAATCACGCCATCTGCATCCACAGCGGATTGGTGAGTGGACCATCCGGCCCCATGGGGCTGGACCCTCGTTAATGCCACCTGTGCGGGGATACGAATATGAATACCCCCATCTTTACGCCTCTCGTCAGATACATCCAGCATGGGCAATGGAAAAGGTCTGTTGGTGCTGTCATCCAAAACATCCCCATCCTGCGCTCCACTAAGATCATCATTGGGGGTCCTCCTGGAGGTGCCTCTGTCTTCTTAGGAAAATGATAGCTGGGAAAGCAGTCTACATTGTGCCTTGTTTTTAGAATAGTTTTTCAAGGGAACTGGAATGCACTTAATCCTGTTATCTGGCACCTGGTTGTCCACAACCTTTCACTGGCCTTGGCATTTGTGACAATATGTGTGGCTGCCAACATCCTGCCACTCCCTTGTCCTTTCACCTCTGCATGCAATTGGGGGCCAGTTGTTGCACCCTGGCTTTTTCAGCCTTTGGAGCTGGAAAGGGTGGGCAGGTAAGTGCAGGCTAGCGTTACCATTGCACTGAGTCATTAAGGCCCAATGGGATTCTTGACATGATCCTGGCACTCACTCTCTCTAGCCCACATGAGCAGGTGGAGAGAGGTGCACTGAATTGTTACTTACTAGACGAGAAGATCTGGGCACTGTAGCTTCCCAGATGGCCAGCTTCAAGTTGAAGAGCGTGGCAGGAAGCTTTTCTTCCCTTCTGCTGTTTCCTCTGACGTTCAGTAGGAGTGTAGGACAATCTAGACATTCTTCAGCTCCCAGGTCAGGCTCTCATTGCTGTCATCTGAGGTTTCCACTTGTGGCAGACTAAGCTGTGTATCTCTGTTCTTCAGCCTCAGGTGAAAGCTTAGTAACTTTTCCTGTGTCTTCTGCTACAGTTTTATTCTGTTTTTGTTTTAGTCTACAGTTTCAAGTTCAACTGTTATGTTTTTAGTTGGTATCATTTTATTTATTGTTTTGATGGTTAGCCATTTTGGAAATGACAGTACTGGAGGCAGAGTAAATTTAATACATGTTTACTATTAGAAGTCTGGGGCCCTGCGGGAGAGTCCATATTGTGATTCTTCCTGTACTGATATTGTGTCAGGAGTTTTTCATGTCACCTCCGGTGGGTGGGAAGAAACTGAGTTGCAGCATCTGCAGCTCCTATTCACTACACAAAAAAGAAACTTGAATTGCATGGTTACAGTAAGTCTCTGCGCATGATTTCTGTGGTTGAAGTGAGGGGAATTGACTTGGTTCCAGACTTTGTCCCGCTTAGAGTAGACCATTGAAAGTGAGACGTAATCATGCCAGTCATAGGTTCCACAGAGTTCAGTGGGTCTTTTCGAAGCACGACATAACTCTGGATCTAGCCCAACTCCAGAGGGTTACAGCTGTGTTTAGATCTTCAGAAGCAGAGATGTGAAGCAAAAGAAGTAAGTATTAAGGCTGCTCTGCTGTGCATATCTGGAGTAAGTCTGGTGAGATTTAACTATTGTGTTAACATAAACAGGAATGGGTTTCAGGCTTCCTGTGTTTGCCTGCATGCCACTGCCTCACTTCATAGTTGTTAGGGAAAAATTGTGTTGCCCTGTAGGCGTATAAGTTTCACACATGCACCCCAGCAAATAATAAAACATGCCAGGAATTGTTAGTCGGTGGGGTTTCCAAAGCATAATGTGATGCTCCATTTGCTTTCTGAACACTTAGAATGCTTCCACTCCAGAAATAAAGCAAAGTGGTGTAGAGTTAAATGAGGAACATTTTAATGTTAACCTTCTAGTACATTGCTTAAGCTAAAAATAAACTTTCAGCTGTTGTCTCTTAGTTCTGTTCATGGTGCAATTATTATCTTCCGAAGAATTTCCTCATTAGCAAGGTTTTGGCTTACACATTATGAAATGGTTAACAAGGTGGCAGATTTGCTGAAATTACGAAAGTTGGCATCATATACAAAATATTTCCCCATGTTTTAGGAAGAAAATGACCAGGCTGAACATTTCCTCTCTTATTCTCCCATTTTCCCTCTGTTCCTTGACCACCTTTCTCCCAGCTGCTGTGAAAACTGAGCTTAAGATTCTGGGACCCTGGCAAGCAGTATGTGCATGAAGAATTTAAGTTATCCAGTAACTGGATACAAGGAAGTCCTTTTGCTTAGACCTATTTGTTTCTGAAATATGCATAACTCATCTACTACACATACAGTAATTATTGTCCCTGTGTACCAGACAACTTGCTTATGTTCTGGAAGGACAAGTCTTGTTAATGAAGACATCAATTTTCCTTTCTTCCTTCCTTTTTTCCATTCCAGTTCTTCCTCCAGTGCTGGTTCCTAGACACAGTGAATACAACCCTCAGCACAGTCTCCTGGCTCAGTTTCGCAACTTGGGACAGAATGAACCACACATGCCCCACAATGCGACTTTTCCAGACTCTTTCCAGCAGCCCAATAGTCACCCATTCCCACATTCACCCAACAGCAGCTATCCAAACTCGCCCGGAAGCAGCAGTGGCACCTATCCTCATTCACCTGCAAGCTCCGACCCAGGAAGTCCTTTCCAGATGCCAGGTAAGCATTCTCTGAACAGATTCTAACTATTAAAGACACTTTTGTGATGCTGTTTGAGTCAGCTCATAAACTTGACACAACAGTTGGCAGGGCAAATGTCTGCATGTGAGTGTGTTTAATAGTTTGTTAGTATGGTTGTAGTATAGTAACAGTAGGTTTGAGGGTTGGACAAATGTGGAAAGTCCTAGAAATGCCCTGGCTTCTTTTTTTCCAAAACTTTGAAAAAAACTTTTTGAGGGTGAAAAGTGCCATTTAGGAACCAAAGAATATCGATTGGGCCAAAGTAATGTTAGAATGACAAACTATGTCCCCTGTAAATTTCTGGGAACCCAATTTTCCATATGGGGGTTGGGTTTGTTTTTTTGTTTGTTTTTACTGTAGACGAGAGGATGGGGTTTCAAGGAAAGAATTGGGTATTATGGGGTATCCATGGATCTTCTTGTGTTCTTGTGTTCATTGTAGATGGCATCAGATAAATTCTGTCAGCAAATCATGAGAGCATAGGGGATAAGCTGTTCTCTTGGCTTTGTTACAACCAGGCTATTCGGTGCTTGATCCAAGCTGACTCCTCTAATTGTGTCACAAGATGATGGAGAGCCAAAGGACATTGCTGGAACACTGGAGTAATGTGCTTCTGGCCAACCAACCACTAGAAATTAGACCACCAAGTTTTTTACCAGCTAAACTGTTCCCAGTAATGAGGGCATTCATATGTAGAATGTATTGTAGTGTAGTCTTGAACTTAGCTGTTGCACTTCCATTCCAAATTAAATAGATGAAAACAGCACCTAGCTGCCTCTGCAGATTTTAGAGCAATCAATTTAAGACCAAGAATCTCCAGATGCTTGGTGCAAGTGACAAGGAAAAGGCATTTGTCAGCAGACCAAACCCAAGTGCATTAGTACTATATGTTCCATTTCATTCCGGAAGGAAGACTCGTATGGTTTTGCCAAGTTTTCTAATGATGGTTGACCTGTCCAAAAATCGGTTAGAGTTGAGTAATGTGAAATTACTACTCCAGAAAGCTCCTATGTCACCTTCTTAAAGATACTGAAGAAATAACCTGTTTCTTACTGGTTGAGTATTGAGTTCTCCTGGATTTACCTGCTGTGTGTTCTGGGTTTGAAAAGAAGCTAAGGATATGGTTCATGTCAGCCGTTTACAACACACTGTGTGAATGTGACCTAACTTGTGAGAATAAGTAACTGCAAAGAGTGTTTCAGTTTTAAAGGATAACAGTAATGTACCGTAGGTACAAACAAGAGTGAAATGCAAAATTATTAGTAGTATGGAAGTACTGTTTGTGTAACAATCAACAGTTGCTGTTCTTAACCTAGTCACCCTATAGTTTTAATTGACTGTGAGATGGCCTGGGTACCCTGTGGGAATAAAGGTGACCTATAAATATCATACATACATACGTATGCACATACATGCATTAATCTGTTCAGCTAGTGATGTTTTAAATCTGTAGCTTCTGACTGACACCAAGCAATAGTTTATGCTTAAGCAATAGTGATTGAAACAATGTCTAAAGATATATTTACTGTTTACTGCATTGCATCTCCTTGAAGCCTGGTATACTTTAAGTTTGCATTGTTAATCTCCTAACTGAAATTCTTTGACTTGATAAGTAGCAGCTTGCTTCCTTTTATGAGTGAAGCATCTTTAACATTATCCAAAACAAACCCTATGTACTCTTAGTGCTCCTGCAGCAGCAAAAATTGAGAATGTCTGCTCTTGAAAAATAAGGTGTTAGAGAAGGGATTCCCAGTGTAGTGGATAGAGTGACAGACTAGGACTCTGGAGAACAGGGTTCAAATCCCAACTCAGCCATGAAAACTCATTTGTGAAGCCTGGAGAACAGGGTTCAAATCCCAACTCAGTCATGAAAACTCATTTGGGATGTGGATCTGGTAAAACCACTCCTTAAATGTCTCACTTACATTGAAAGCCCCGTTGCAGTCACTAAAAATCAGTTCTGACTTGACAGCACAGAACACACACATACAGAGATGGCAGGAAAAAAAAAGAAAGAACAGAGATACAAGCATATTGCCTATAGTCTTATTAAGGCAGGACCCTAGTACCTGATATGCACTTAACATTGTTGTGAGGGAGCCAGTCTCCTGTAGCGAATGGAGTTCCAGATTTTAGGACTCAAGAGACATAGGTTCAAGTCCCCACTTGGCCATGAAAACTCACCAGAAAGAGGTGGCAACTGCAAATTGCCTGAATATCTCACATACCATGAAATAAAGCCACCATGAGTTGGAGGTGACTTGATGATACATGACATCCATAAAATTGCTGTAAACATGCTATAAAACGACTGCTCAGCTTGAAGAACTATAAATGTTTTTTATGGATTTTGCTATGCCATAATAGCACTTTCCACTGAATTTGAATAGAAAAAGATGAAATGACCTGCTTTTCTTCTCATTTTTTAAAAATGCTTAGCCGATACTCCCCCTCCTGCTTACCTCCCACCAGAAGATCAGATGACCCAGGACGGTTCACAGCCAATGGATACCAATATGATGGCACCTTCAATTCCTCAAGAAGTAAACAGAGGAGGTGAACATTATTTTCCCCCTTTTGCATAAATGTACCAATTCTTTTTATATGTATGTGACACTTTAGTGGTGAGTTACAACCAGGTAATGGCATAATCTTTTGAATGGGGGCAGTAGCTAGGAGTGATTTTAAATGCTTCAGTCATGTTCTGGGGAAAGCAAATAATGGTGGAGTAATAGAAAGCAAATAAGAATCCATTATTCTCTTGGATTCTGTTGGTAATAATTTCTGAAAACAGGCATTCCTGCCAAAGTTGTGAACTGGCATTCAAAGGATATCCACCCACCCAGTTGCAAGCTCAAAGTGTATTCAATACCATTATGATAAATAGGCACCTGGAAAGCCTAGCTACTGTTGAGTCTAAAAAACATCTTTAAAGGTAATTGAAAAATAACTGTGGACAACAGTGTTTTGGAACACACAAAATTTTATTTTGCTTTAAAGCGTGCTTGAAATTGAAAACACCGTTTTTTATGTTTATGTTGATCTTCTCATAATATGTGGCCCTTGCCACAGTAAGTAATTTTATCTATGTTTATACTTAACTCTGCAGACTTTATGCCCACTTTTTAAAGATATTCTATAGATTTCTTGCATTCTTCGAGAGTTCTCCCGGGATGAAAAGATCACTTCAATTCACTATTTTCTTATTCCAAGACATCACAAATATTGCTCAATACTCATAAAATTTATGTGTACCTTACCAATAATTTATTTGCTTCCTATAATAATATGTGTATTTAGATAACAACGTGATGTTCCAGATATGATTAAACCAGTCATTTACAAAGAGGGTTCTTTTTTCTTCTTCCAGTTTCTTGCTATAGCCAACTTAGTACCAGCAAATAGACTTGAGACCAATTTGATATGTTTGATTAACAAATCCTTTTATATAATCCGGAAGAATTATCTTGGGATCCAGCTCACATGTTACTAGCTAACATGTCATTAATAAACTCAATTGCAGCATTCAAAAAAATATTTTTTTAAAAAATGTTTTCAAACAGGACCAAAATAGATATAATGGCTAGAATCCTGTTGCATAATATAAGTAAAGTCATACATTTCAGTCTGTTCCTCAGAGGTAAATAAAAAGAACTTGGAATCAAGGCAAAGATTCTTTATTTACCCATGAGAATGGACCAAAATGTGTGATTTTGCTTACATTATGCAGTAAAACTTGAACCATATCTAAGATTTGTATGAACATACTCATTTGCTTTTTATGAATCATCATAGAACTTCAGTTAAAACAAAATTGAAAAGGATCTGGTTTGCCTAACAAGGATTTGTTTGCTTATTTTGGTTGTAATCACCTGTTGGGTGGCATGGGGTCTGTGCCCATGAATGACCAGATTAATCAAATGCATACCCAAGTATTGCCTAATAATAATTAAGAATCATGTGACATCAAGTCATTTCTGACATGGTGACCCCTTTCAGGGTTTTCTAGGTAGAGAATACTCAGAGTGGTTTATAATTCCCTTCTTTTGGGGGCGGCCTCCTGGCAGAATGTGAAATTTGTGGCTTAAAAATCTCTAGCTACGTTCAGGGTTTTCTAGGTAGCGAATACTCAGACCGGTTTATAATTCCCTTCTTTTTTGGGGGGTGCGCGCCTCTTGGCAGAATGTGAAATTTGTGGCGTAAAAATCTCTAGCTACACAGCAGAAAAAGTCCAGGGAACTACAGAGCAGAATTAGCTTCAAGTCTCCCCTCAGTAGACCACCCCTTATTGGTTAGTTATCCTCAACTGGCACTTACTGCCTCAATAACTTACTCAGAGACTCTGGTAAAAGAAAGAATATAAAGTTCCATTTAATCACAGTTCTGAATAATGAAAAAACAGCAAATTGCGAAAAAAAAATACGGATTGGTTATATGACCAGAACTTGTACTAACTGATTTCTTCCATACTGATTACATGGCAGACTCTGACTGACTCCTGAGTGAAAAAGGTAAAGGTTGCCCTTGACATTTAGTCCCGTCGTGTCCGACTCTAGGGCGCGGTGCTCATCCCCGTTTCCAAGCCATAGAGCCAGCGTTTGTTCGAAGACAGTTTCCATGGTCAGGGAAAAAAGACTTAAGAAGAGAAGTGTTGCTCTTTTCAAACTCTGAGGCAGAGATGGAACAATTGGTTGTGTTTTGATTGATTGACATTCATCCCAGTCCCTCCCAGGCAAAACCTCTTAAAGGCATCATACAAAGGTTGCTAAATTCCAACACCCCATGGGTCTGTGCAGCTTGCCCAAGGGCTACACAAGCTGGCGGTACTCAGAGGAAGCACCGTGGGGACTCAAACCCCTAACCTCTGTCTCTGCAGCCAGAGTCCTAAACTGCTGAACCCGCCAGCCAGCCAGCCAGCGCTCTCTGTAGCCAGCCAGCCAGCCAGCCAGCCAGCGCTCTCTATTGAGTTCTTGTACATGCTTGGAGCCACCTCTGCCATTACATTGTGCAGTGTTGCGTGTCACCGTGGCTTCATTTGCAAAGCAGGATTGCTAGATGTGGAATCAAATCAGTACTTTGTCACTTTTACAAACTGACATTATACTACAAGGAGCAGCACTAGCCACTTTACCCACCTTTTTTTGCTTATGGGGCAGCCTCGTCTGTGCATTTGCCCAGTGGATTTGGGGTGAGCTGTTTTAAGAGCACAGGGAGCAGAACGTGCAGAGCAGGCTGAAGGAAGTTGCCATTATGAGAAGGAGGAAAGGCAGGGGCCAAACTGTTAGTAGCAAATGCCCCTATTAGTGTGGCAGAAGCTCCCTGTGGATCTCTTGACATTTCCCCCCCTAGTCATAATCTCTCACCTCTCCCTTTTATAGAGGGCAAAACTATCCTAGTTTCCTTTATATTGACATTGTTTACCCTGCACCTGTTTCCCTTAATTCTGGGAACTCATTTCTCCTATTCCCCTACCTCTACCTGATGTGTATGATCACATCCTTTGTTAAATAGCCCTTCGGAAAGGTCTGTAGCAGTTCATGTTTACAGAGGGCACTGGCCGTAAATGTCGGCTCAAATGCTCTCGAGGTGCAGACGGCGAGAGGCCTGCTTTCTGTGAAGATTTGTTAGTCTTAAGGGATTTGACTTAACAAGCTGCATCCTGTCAGTGAAGTTGGGTAACTCCTATTGTTGGCTCATGCTGGGAATGGAGAGACAAAACGCACCTGCTCGGCATGACTTAAGGCAAATGTGAGGAAGTTTGTATGAAATCTGTGTGAGAGAGATATGATTTCATTCTACAAGAATGGCCAGCTGGCAGGATTTCTTCCAGAGTTTGAGAACTAGGGCAAAGCTGTGTAGTTTTAATAGTTACTGGCATCTTACTGTGAAGAGTGCACCCACTTACGAATAATTAAAGGCTGCCTTACAATGACTTGAAAGGATTAAAAATGCTGCAGCTTGTTTGCATCAGCACTTCTTGGCATATCCTTGATAATCAGTGAACCAGACTTAAAGGAGCACCATTCCCCCTCCCCATCAATGCTGTCTGCCATCTAACTGTATATGTAATCCATTTCCTTCGGCCAAAATCATCCTCATGAGTGTCATTGGTTGATTATCACTTTTCCATACCCTGGATCTTTCCAAATAATCCTCACTAGGCCTAGAGAAAGTTACTTTTCCAGAACACCTGCAATCAGCTACCATGGCCATTGAATTTTGATAATTCACAATCAGACAGTTATTTTTCCAAGGATTCTAATCTACTGAAGAGAGACAGTGTGGTATAATGGTTAATTGAATGTCACACTTGAGCCTAAAGAGACAAGGTCCAGATTCTCACTTGGTTTGAAGCTCACTGGGAGAACCTTCTGTTCTGCCTAATGTGCCTCACAGTGCAGTTGTGGGGATACAATGCATTTGCAGGAGAGGCAGGACACTGGCATAACTCATAGTGCCATGTAGTTTCCTTTCTATTGGCCTGCTTAGATTTAGTTGTCAAAAAGAATCCTGTGAGTGTCTAATGAAGCTTTAAGAAGGATCAGAGCAAATGTGCTAAAATCGTGTTCCTAGAATACTGTATAGTCTTTTAAGACCATAGTGGGCTACCTGTAGTCCTCCAGGTATTATCCTTTCCTTTTAGCTATACTGGATAGGGAGTGATGGGAGTTGCAGTACACCATCCAACAAGCCACAAAGTGCCTACCTCTGTTTAAGAAACATTTTCTGCAATGGTGTCCTTTTATAGTAGAAACTCAAAAGATTTCAATTAGGGGAATGTCCAAGCCAGTTTCCCCACCCTCAAGACAGTACTCTTGGTCTAATCAGAAAGCCAGTGATTCAGTTCTACTCCCCTCCCCGCATTAAATATCCACTAGTTAGGCACTGCTATTAAAGAAAACCTAAATGAGTTTATTGTACTCCTTCCGTAATATGTGATGCATGCAAACAATAAACAATCCTTAGATTTCTCTCTCCCCAGCTGCTCACTTTATTTGCCATTAGCCACACAGAAGCAAAGTTACTTCTCTGGAGGCTAAATCCCATGTTCCCAATTAGAGTAGATTTGCATAAGAGACAATCAGTAGGCCCACAGCAGTCTTTTATCAACTTTGGGTTCCTGAGTGTTGGATTATGGCTCCCGTCGTTTTCTGCCAGCATGGCTAGTCGTTGATACAATGGGCCTTGTGGTCTAAAACACCTGGAAATCTAAGATGGTAGAAAGCTGATCTTAAAAAGCCATGCCTTCTTTCTTTGGCAGTAGATGTATCTCAAAGTACTCACTGTATCAGAATACATTCTTCTTCTCTCCCAGACAGAAGCATACATGTTTATTTAAATTAAATTAAATTAAATCAAATTAAATTAAAGTATTCCCTGCTTATAGTTGGCTACAGAACATGTGTTTTAGCAGGGATGGTGATTCATACTTGTGCCCAGCCTGCCTGTAGGGATCTCAAAGTGATATAAGTAAAGCATTTAGCCTTGCCATAGAGGCTTCACATTTCAAGTGGCAATGCGGACACAGATCTCTCCAGTCCACTCTTACCTGCTGCAGGATACTGTCTCTTAGCATTGTTGATCAATTCATAAATATTGCAGGACCTTGTCTCTTAACTTCATGAATCAGTTATAAATATTGCAGTTCTGCCTCTTGCGAGCATAATTCCAAAACGTCAAACCTTCAGGCTGCTTGCCCATATACCTGCTAAATCTCCCCTTCCCCCAGTTTTGGAGGCTTCCACTGTATTTCTTAGTCTGGCACTGAAATCTATTGTACAATGGCACATTGTGAGAGAATGACTTCCAATTAGCAGCTGCACAGCCAGATTTTCCCCCTTTGTTTCTTCAGTGATCTTAAGCCAAAAGCTACACACTGAAAATAAATAAATAAAACTTTAAAGCTCAGGAACTCATTAATTCCAGTGTCACTGATTTCTGGTTTTTCTTCTCTTGCAGATGTTCAGGCAGTTGCCTATGAGGAGCCAAAACACTGGTGCTCCATTGTCTACTATGAGCTCAATAATCGGGTGGGAGAGGCATTTCATGCCTCTTCCACAAGTGTGTTGGTGGATGGCTTCACTGATCCTTCAAACAACAAGAACAGGTTTTGCCTGGGGCTGCTCTCGAATGTTAATCGGAATTCCACCATTGAGAACACCAGGCGGCATATTGGCAAAGGTACTGCTGGTTCTGTTCCAACTTCAAGAGGAGAGAGGAAGGCAGAGGAAGCATGCTAGCATGAGGGATGGGTTGCCGCCAGGCTTTACTGAGAACTAGTGCAACCTACGTTACTGCATATCCAGCTTTATATGTTGGTAAACATGTATTCTTGGCAAGCCTGTAGGAATAGGGTTACAGGCAACAAGGCAGCTTTTTCCAGAGTTTACCCTTGGGATTTGTTGCGTTATAACTCACATTATCCCCCATCAGCATATGTCATTCTGGCTAGGAATGATGGTGATGGTATTCCAACATACTAGGATGGCACCATCTTAGGATGTGCTGCTTGTAAGTCTTCTGACATCAACATTTTCTGAAGTACATTTCTTGAAAAGGCAGAAAGAAAGCTTTTCTTTTGTGGGGGAGCAGCTGATCTCCTGCCTGATCCTTTTAAGAACTGGGAAGTGCTATTCTAGCAGGTGGATGAATCCTTAGATCTGGAAAAAAGACATATTGTTTCCCCTTGATTTAAGGAAACCATATCCATGCAATGACATACTGCATCTTTTTAACTTTCCTCCTTTTTTATGGACTGAAGAAATTGACAGTTATTTGGTTTTTAGTATGACTTTCATTTCCAATAAGCAGTTTTTATTTGTTTTTGTTTTTTAAATAGAGCTGGATCTCAATGAAACCTATTAACCCCAATATTTTAAATTAACTTGGAATTAATCATAGTTTGTTTTAATTCCACCCCTTTCCCCAACTGGTTCTGATGGAAAGTAACTTTGGATCTTGTGGGGGGACTATACACTGAGTATAGAAGCAATAAGTCACAATGAATCCCAATGGGCGTTTCAAGCTGTGCAGTAACTTGATGATGATGATGAAATTTGTATTTGCAACATTATCATGATCATCCTTGTCATCACCACAACAGTCCTGTGAGGGTAAGGTAGGCAGAGAGGATGGCTGGCCTGTGGTTTTGGCAAATTCTGTAAATTCTACTGAACCTATAGTCAAGCCATGAAAGATTTAAACTGATGTTAAAAGCAGGACTACATATAATAAAGAAGTTGGCAGGTTATCCAAGCATAGATTTATTCTTGATTTTACTAAATTACTGAGACTTGAAAAGATGTAGTTTCATCCTCTTGTACCTGTGCATACTTTTAGACTACCGAACAGATACACCAGCATCCCCAAAGTAATACAGGGTTTTGAAACAATCCTTGGTGTCCATTGGCAAGAATGGGTGATGCCTTTATTGGACTGTTGAAAATCACAAACATAAGCTAGCTTTCAACTATGTGCAGGTCTTCATCGGGCTAAAATCCAGTGATATGTGTAGATGCCTATACTGGCAATTAGAGCAGCTCATGAAATCATAGTCAAACTATGCAAAAAAGTAATTCTCTCTGTGTTAATGTGTTTGGTTCAAATATATAAAATTCATCATGTACATGTTTGCTATGATCAGAAGATACTTACTCATATTTTTTTCATAGTGGGTTTGGACACTTTGACCCTCTTGGAGCTCCTTGATTTAAGGATTGATCTAACCAATTTTCTGTCTCTTTGTAGGAGTGCATCTCTATTATGTTGGTGGCGAAGTCTATGCAGAGTGTCTTAGCGACAGTAGTATATTTGTGCAAAGTCGAAATTGCAATTACCATCATGGTTTTCATCCAACCACAGTATGTAAAATTCCAAGTGGCTGCAGTTTGAAGATCTTCAACAACCAAGAGTTTGCTCAACTTCTGGCTCAGTCGGTGAACCATGGTTTTGAAACAGTGTATGAACTCACCAAGATGTGCACTATCCGCATGAGCTTTGTAAAGGTAAGCAATGATGGAGAGCCTTATATGTGCCTCATAAATTTGTGAAAGAGAATGACTAGTGACCTTATCTGTGGTCATTTTATTTCTAGGTCACCCAGCCATGCCTTAAGCAAGGCTTAAGTGAGTAGTTATTCTATAATTGACCCTTCCTCTAAATTCCAGGCTTTGAAAAAAGGGACCCTCCATTTCCCCAAACATAGTCATGCACACCATGGAATATTCTAATAACATAGAACATATAGAAGTCTGGGGAGGCAGCCACTGAAAATGCGGGGTATAAATACAATAAATAAATAAATAAATAAAATAAACCCTCCTCAGATAGAAGTTTGGGGAGGCAGCCACTGAAAACGGCCTATTTCAGTGGCTGGGAAACTCTTACTGGAATTTGCATGAAGGATGTCTTCCTCCTGAAAAGCTACAGTGAGAGAAGGCATGGGTCTCTAAGAAAGGTTACATACATTGTTGTTGTGTTGCTGCTGAACCTGATGATGGAACAGGCAGGGAGGATGCTTGTTTTTAATTCCATAAATATAATGATCCATACATCCTGTGATGAGTATGCCTAGCACCCTTGCCTTTCAAACAGGTTTGCCAAAAGTTATACCTTCCAGCTATAGAGACCATTGGATTTTGCATATGTGTTATGAGATAGGTATTTTCTATGCTGGAATCCTCCTTCAAAGCCTGGATGTGAAGTAAAAAGATTCTGCCCATAGGAATCTAGTCACAAAATTGCAGAAAGCAGACGATTGTCTTTTTTCCAGCCCCAACTCTATAGAATTAATGTTAAGGTACGTTAGTAGCCACCAAGGTAGTAATCTGTTCCAGTGAACATTATGTGTCATAATAAATTTGTTAATGTTTAAGGTGTCACAGTAGTCTTGGGTTTTTACTAGGCATGTATCCATTACATTCTGTAGTGTGAGGGCAGAAAAATTTGTGGCCTTCCAGATGTTCCAGACGCCACTCTATCATAGTTGCACAGTCAGGGCTGTTCGTGGGAGTTGTATCTAACAACCTCTGGTGAGCCACACATGAGGGCAAGACCACCTTTCTAGGGCACAGCTAATCTCTCCTGTTGGTAAGTTTAGCATGTCAGAAATCTTAGTGAACAGCCTTTGTGTTGCTGAGCTGAAGCTAGAGTACTTGTTCGCTTTAAAAGTTCACTGTGTCTTTCATTTTGGCCAAACTTTAGACTGAAAAGTATTATCCTAGATGTGGAAATTCAGGCTCCGGAACCAGATTGTAAGCACTGAAATTAAAATATTGTTGAAATCAAAACCTGCTGGTATTCAAATGAGGATTTTCAAAAATAAATCACAGCAGTTTTTAATAAAAGATATAATATGAACAAGTTCATATAAAAATAGACAATATACAGTAAAAAGCTAATTAATTAAAAGGAATACAGCAATGAAGCCGTATCTTCAGGTGGAGGACAGATTAATCCAACAGATCAAATGTGTGTTAAAATAAACTTTTGCTGGGGGGCATCTGGCAGAAGGCCAACAACATCTGGTTAGCCACACATTCCCCCAGCCTTACTAAAGTGGGAAGAAATCCATGGGATTGGGCATTCCAGAGTCTGGATCCAGTCACTTGAGTTGAAGTCTGACTGACATGTTCAGCAGTATCTTTGCATCCATTAGAAAATGTCTGTTAAAGCATCTGCATACATTATATTTAGGGAGTGGAGATAATGCTGGATACTGTACAGATAGTAGTGTGTATGGAGTTAGCACACTAGGTGCAGAAGATTGAGACTGCATCAGTGACTGTGTTAACATCAGTAGATACTTTTCCTTTCAGAGAACAGAAAATTAGTGCATTTTTTAAAAAAAGTAAATGTGGGAGATTTACTGAATACAATATTTAATATCTTTGTATTCTCACAATGGGAATATTCCTCCAGCAAGATCAAATGATGCTATACCCTTCACACTTCTCTTTTTCTAGGGCTGGGGAGCTGAGTATCACCGACAAGATGTCACAAGTACACCATGTTGGATTGAGATTCATTTGCACGGTCCCCTCCAGTGGCTGGATAAAGTTCTTACGCAGATGGGTTCTCCTCATAACCCCATCTCTTCTGTGTCTTAAAAGGATTCTGAGCAGCTACACTTCAGACACTATTGAGCCTTGCATGTACTTGAAGGATGTATGAGTCAGACACATGCGCAAAACTGGCAGCAGCCTTTGTTATACTTGACTTCTGTGACCAACTGTTAGATCAGGAAAAAAAAGTTGCTGATATCAAGGTTTTAGTTTACAATAGTAGTTTGTATCTTGTGACCCTTTATGAAGGGCAGTGTGTATCTTATGACCCTTTAGGCAGGGCAGTGTGTAATACTTAGGGATGACCAGGTCAGTGCAATGAGGAGGATACTGTTCTTGAGCGATCTGATTTCATTCAATAAGATCTCCTTGTGTTGAGCACCCAGTGTGTTCTTGGAATGAGTGCCAAAATTTGATGGTTGCTCTTTCTCCTTGTTAACCAGCTTTTCACCATGTTTGAAAGCCATTGGTCTTGGTAATAGTTCCTATCAGAAAAAAAAAATCAAGGCTTCTGTGTAACCTTCTGAAACTGTGTACTGACCATACTGCAGCAAGATTTTTTAAGTATGCTCTTTGCTAAATGTATGTACAGTGTATTTGGAAGTTAGAGATGGACTAGCCAAAAGAAATTAGATAGACAGGAGAATGGGGGTGGGAAGGGAAGCTGACAAGGACAGGTAGAATTATAATGTAAACATAGTTTGTTAAACAACTCCAAGTCTTGCTGTGTGCATTTCATTTTTATAGTGGCTTCATCTTACTACTAACCAATATATTTCTGCCCATCCTCAGCTTCAGAGGGCAAGGGTGGGTCAATAAATGCTTTTGTCATGTACTGCAAGGTCTGTATATTTCAAGACAAATTGTACGGCCTTTCAGAGATTGGGCAGTTTTATGCAGTTCACATAACGGAAGTAGCTGTTTCATTTTGTAAGAGGTTTGTGTTTTGCCAAAGTAGCAGATGTTAGCATATGTTGGGAGGAATTAAACAACCTATTCAAGTGTTTCAGACTTAAGGTTAATTTTTTTTACCATTTTAAATTGTTTTCTTTCTGCTAATGTTTTTATATTCATTCAAGCTATAATACTTTTTCAGTATTTTTTTATTCCAAAACTTAGTGGTTCATCTCTACTGAAGTTCAAATAAATGTATTGCTTACTTTGATTAAAACTGTTTCTTGTGTATTTCTTATCATGCTTTAACCCACTTAGTAGGTATAATATGAATGAATAGTACAAAGGAAAGGTTTTTGCAAGAAAAGGCTTTGGTTGGGAAAAAATACACAAAATTTGTCACCACAGAAGAGCGAGCAATACCTTTGTGTCTCCCTTAAAGCAGCAATGAGAACTTTAATAACTTGTACAGTCTCATATTGCCAGACTAATTGGAAAACAGTTCTCTAAAACGTTTATGTTCCTGTTCCATACCATTTCGGTAATATTCCTTTTCATTTTAGATGCTTGAAAACCACACAGCATGTATGAACTTGACAGGTACAATGGGTCTGAATGTGAGTGTGACTTGTACTGCCATTTAGAAGGGTGTCCAGTAACAAAGTCACTACATTCAGGCAGTGGAGGTAAATTGGCAAAATTAAGGGAGAAAATAAAAGATAAAAAGATAGGTGAAATATTGTGACACTTTAAGGACTTGACGGATTTATTTCAGTGAGAGTTTTGGAGATCAAAATCCATTTCTTGAGACACAAAAAGTACAAATACTTTAAATGTCTTCTGTATTTATACATATCTCCATGTTGGTGATGGGACATGTATTTGCAGTCCTTATGTCTGAAAAAGCATGTTTTGATCCGTGGAGGACCGATCACTCAGTGTGAGAGTTGGATTTCCCACTGTGTCTCCTTGACAAAGCATGTTTTGATCCGTGGAGGACCGATCGCTCAGTGTGAGAGTTGGACTGTGTCTCCTTGACAGGCAGGACTCAACGATCCATAGGATCCCTTTCAGCTCTGCAGTTCTAAGATTATTATAGAAGCTCACATTGAAATAAATCTGTTAATTTTCAAAGTGCCACAGTATTTTGCTTGCCTGCCTGCCTTTTCTTTTTTTCTTTTTTCCCCTTCTTTTAATTTTGTCAGCATGTTGAGACAAGTTAACATGGCTTTGTCTTTGGAGAATGAAGGTAAGTGTGAGTGATTGATAATTTTAAGAATGCAAGGACCACTCTTAAACCAAATTGATGTAATAATACTATCACCTTCAGCTAGCACTAAGCTACCTTAAATCATTTCTCCAAGGTGTTCAGCAGATATGTTTCCTTGTAAAATCTCTTCCCTATTGCTAGTGGGAACTGAAATTTTAAGATCAAAGAACATAAATTTCAGTAACAAAAAACCCATTCTGTCTTAAATCCAATTGTCAACCCATTGAATCAGTAGAACATATGGCTCTACCAAATTCCCATTGATTTAGCAGCCTAGTCTAAAGCAGCATACTTTAGTCTACTGAGCTGTCTAGCTGGGATTAAGAATTGGATTTAGATCTTTGTGCCCCTGAGATAGGTGGCCATCCTAAGAGTAGTCACATTTCTTGCTCATGATACAGAAAACATCCTATCTTTAAATGTAGTCACAGGTGTTGTTTAATTTTTAACAGGTCAACAGGTCTTGCAAAGTGCTGTGACAAATAATTCCATAATTTCTGTCAGAAAATACAACCTAACAAACAAGTAGACCTTTTCAAGATCACTGGATGTTCTGCTAGTAACCTGAAAATTGCCATTCTCAAACCAATTTTTTTTAAAAAAGACTTCAGCCTGAAGTAGTTCAATCAGACCTAATTATGAAGCTTGAATTTGTTTGATCTTGAAACAATGGCCTCCTGATTTAAGCTGATCTTCAATAGTTTCCCCAATGTCCCCAATACAAAGACTGTGTTAACTTATCACTAATTACTGCTGTTGCCAGTGGTACTTATTTTGTACACATTTCAGCTTTAATCAAATTGAAATTGTTTCTTGCACATCTCTACCATTTGAACCCCATTGTTTACAACAGGATGAGGAACCTCAGTTCCTGGGGTCAAATTAAGTTCACTTGGGGTCCCAATCTGGCTGTCTGGGATTCCCCAGATGTCCCTCTTTCTCTCCCACTGATACTGTCCTTCATCGTTTTCCTAACTTCTGTATACATCTTCTAAGGCTCGGTTACTGACAGTAAGAGAATTTAAACTAAAATATGCTTTGTCCCCTTGCTGAGAATTTATATGAAACTGAATCTGACCTTTAGGTTGAAAGATGTTTCCCACATCTGGAAACTTGTAGACCTCCAGATGTTGCAATGCAACTCCCATCGTTCTTCATCATTGGCTTTGCTGGCTAGAACTGGCGAAAGCTGCAGTTCAAGCAGGCAAACATTCCTCACTCCTACTTGAGGACTCTCCCTCACCCCATCACACGCTGTGCACTCTCTTGCGCATGTGCACACATACCTGGCAATTAAGAATAACATTTTTTCTGTTAAACTGGGGTACTGTTTTAACTTTCTACAAGCTTTGAGCATGGTCACTAATTCATTAGAGATATATCTCCCTTTATTCATTCCAGACCTTTTACTGTCACTTTCTGCAAGTACGTTATAGATTCTGAAGACTAATATAAATGCCAGAAGCTGTTTCCCTCCTGTAATGAAAACTTTGTGCAATACTTTTCTTCTCTAGTTGGCTAAATGGCCTAAAGTCTGCAGAGAACTTCCTGAACAAGAGACTGCAATTTCAGACTGGAACTCTTGTTTTTCATATGTGGCAGCATAAGCATTAGGTAAAAGTAAAGGTTCCCCTTGACATTTAATCCAGTCATGTCCAACTCTAGGGCGTGGTGCTCATCCCTGTTTCCAAGCCGTAAAGCCAGTGTTTGTCCATAGACAGTTTCCGTGGTCACAACTAAACACGCAATGCTGTTACCTTCCCACCATGGTGGTACCTATTTATCTACTTGCATTTACATGCTTTCAAACTGCTAGGTTGGCAGGAGCTCACTCTGTCGCTTGGATTCGATCTTACGACTGCTGGTCTTCTGAACTTGCAGCACAGAGACTTCTGCGGTTTAACCTGCAGCAGCACCACGTCCCAGCATAAACATTACAAAGCCCAAAATATCAGCAGAAAAACGAGTTTAATATTATGAAGAGATTATTTTTAATCAAATAAACACATTTCTGCTTTTTGATGGGATGAAATTGAATATTTGATCAAGAGCAGCAATTCAACAATTCAACTTGTGTAATGCTAATAAAACTAAACAATATAAAAATAAGTAGTGTTTTATTATTAACAAAAACTAAATAAGATATATGTTAGTTTATACCAGAATACAGCTCCATGTGGATTGTGGATTACTAGAGAGAGATCACAGCGTTTTAACATTATTGGATGCCTGGAGATAACTAGGAAGAGCACCAATCAAGAGTCATAGGGTGCAGCTACATGGTAAAATACTGTGGGATTTTTGTTCAGCTTATAAAACAGGTGGATTTGAAGGTTTTTTTATTGACCACATGATGCAAAAGCTGATTTAAATTGGCCCAGCCGTTTCTGCTCCCAAAATGACTTTTCTTCTCTGAGGAGCTTCTACTTTTTCAAGCCAGAACAATTATTCAGACAGGCTTTCCCCCATCTGGTTAGCAGATTCCAACCAAGCTCAGTGAGACATGCGCTGAAATTCTGTACATACTTATTTGAGAGCAATACTACCAAGCACAATGGCACTGATTTGCTGGTAGACTTAAAATTGTGTTATGAGTCCTCCTAAGCATAACTGCACAGGATTGCAACTATCCTTGCTTCAGTTTGTCAGATCCAATTTGTATTATTCTGTGGCCTTAAAATGTGATGGCAGCTCCTAAGAGGCTTTTTATATCAGCCTTGCCTCTATATATTAAAAAAAAAAAGAAAATGTTATGAGAAACTGTTAACAGTATACAGGATGAGCTAGGAATATACTACATATATGGACACAGAAGAGTAATTAAGGCTACAACTCTGTGCACATTTACTCATAATGCCACTGGGTTTAATGTTTAATGTAACTAACTTCTAATTAAACACATGTGAGATTCAGCAGTAGAGCACCTACCAATCACAAATTTGTTTAGAGGCATGTTTTTCTCAAAATCAACTTGTTTGGAGGATGACCATAGCCACGTATTGAGAAGATTTACACTGGCATGGAGCAGAAGGCCAGCAGCAGACTGCCCACTCCTAAACTACCAACTCTCTCCAGTGACACAGCATGTGATTTGCATGCAGAAGGTTCCATGTTCAAGCCTGGCACTTCCAAATAGGGATGGAGAAATTCCTATCAGAAATTCTATAAATGTGCTGATAGGCACAGTTGACAATGCTTGGGTAAATAAACCAATGGTAAGTGTAAGGTAGCATCTTAGGTTTAGCCTAGTCCCATCCCAGCTACTCTGGTTAGTACAGAACAGTTAATTTAAAAGCCTTAATTCCAAAACATCTCAGGCTGATAATATATTGTAATAGTATACTGTGTTAGCTTTAGCCTAGTCCCATCCCAGCTACTCTGGCTAGTACAGAACACTGTTAATTGATGTTTAATTTCAAACATTTTTTTTTTTTAAAAAAGAAGAGATGGGGTGAGGAAGCAATCCAAATCTCTTCAGGACATTTGTTAGTTATTTAAAACTACAATAATAGACGTAAACTAAAATGTATCTTTTTAAATTTAATATATAGCAGTCCAAAAAGATGCCAGCATATCTAATAAACAGACTTGATGTATGAAAGACAAGAATTCCTTTAATAGATGGTGTGTTATAGAAGGAGCATAAAATCTGGCAGAGCAAACTGACAACATGACAGAAGAAGTGATGACTGAGCATACTGCTGAAAATATTAAAAATCAGTAATAGAAATATCTTCAATGACAGCATAAGCAAATAAAAAACACGGATGGGCTATCATAAGACAAGAGTTCTTAAATGAAGATAGGGCAATTGTACATAAAAGGCATTAATTCTTTATGATGATCCTCACTGCAGAAAATGTGGCAGGCATCCAAAACTGCAGCTTTTGAGACAAGGGAACTGAAGAACTACCTCAAATGACTGTTTTAACCCTGAGACCCACTGGCAAAAGAAGTTGACTTGAAGTATCTTTCTACAATATATGAATATTCCACCTCCACCTGAAATGCAGATATCATAATACAAGCTTGTTTCAAATTACATTCTTAATTGCAGAATGGAAATACAGTATTAATGGTGATACAGTATATGCGACAGAGCTGCTTTTAAACTAGCACTTTGCTTTCCACCCCACCACTAATATGGGAATGTTAACAGCAGCTTTGATACGTACACACACTCCCGAACACCCCCTTAGGTTGGCAAAATGCAATGAAAACAAGAGTTAAGCCAGACTTCTATTGATGTTTGCATAAAGTTGGCATAACTTGCCGCGGCTAACTGTGGCTGACTGAAGGAGACACCGGAGTGCCTCTTGATTGCAAAACTGAGCATGTGACCAGGGACCTGCCTTGAGGCGCATGGCAGCTGGCACCTCATCAGTTAGTGGCAATTAGCTGTGGCAAGTGGCACAAACCTGACACAAGCACCAACAGGATTCTGGAACCAATTTCTACAAACTTTAAACGTAGCCCTCTGTCCGAATTGGGTGAAAGACCTTTACGACCTATTCCACTCTCTCAGCAACTCCTTTGCAGTATGTCCCTGTGATAGCCTCCTCTCATGTCACAAAGGAGGTGTCACGTCACTCTTACATACACACACTTTGTTCACGCTGCCACTAACCATTCCTTCATCTGTGACTCTTCAGGCAAATAAATGACTTTTAAAATAAAAACTTGTGTTTTATTTAGAATAACAGAAGAAATGGTAAATCACTGTATCAACGAAATAATAAGGCAATCAATATAAAGTATCACACACACACTCTCTTTCAGACCTTCTCTCAAAATATAGCACAGTACTACACCACAGGTATAAGCCCTAAGTCCCTAACCATGTCCCTATCTAAACCCTATCTGACTCACACCTCATTCACTCCCCCCTTAAATACCATGGCTCCACCTTCTGAAGTCCCACCTCCTGTCATGCTATAGGCAGATGAACTCCAGCCACAGCAATGACAGGCGGATGACATCATCACTACCCTAACAGCCCCTGTTACCTTTACTTTTAACTCCTCTGCTCCAGGTGGACTTGATCCACAAAAGCTTACATTAAAATATAGCAATTGGTCTTTCAGCTGCCCCAACGTTTTTGTCTCTTTTCATGTGTGTTTGTTGGTTTGATATGCCCCACTTCTGTGGATGATAGGGCAAAGGATAAAGGCCAGCGGTTTTCTCCCACATTAAAAACTTTGAAAGGAAAGGAGGAAAGAAAAAAAATGAAAATTATTTTTCTCTACAAAATGGTAATTATTTGCGTGGGGGGGGGAATTCTGTCTTTCACTTTTGGGGTAGGGATTTTTAAAAGTCCTGGGTCTCGCGTGGTCTCCTAGGGACATCTGTCCTTGTTACCATTCTAACAAGAGGCACGCTAAGCAACAGTAAGAAATAAAATGCAAACTGCAGAAACCCAAGCACTCTCGCACTCCGACTAAAGAAATGTCCTCTACCTTACGTAGATCTACGGACATCCTTCTGTGCGCCTGCGTAGAAGCCCCCCGCTTGCCTCCGTCGCAGCCGCCAAGGGTCTACGCAGGCGCATTCAAGAATACCGTGACAGCGGCAGGGGTGAGATCAGGTTTGGGTAGCGTGCTGGTTTGCGTTCACGGATGTGTCCCGGATGTAAACAGTTTGGGGCGGCGAGGTCACTTCCTCGTTGTAGTGGTACGTTTTGTACGGGCGGGCACGGCGATCATCAAGGTAGTGTCGCCTTGGATGGCGGGGGCGGGCGAGGGTCGAGTTATTGGAAGGAAGGAAGGAAGGAAGGAAGAAAGGAAGGGAGGGAGGGAGGGAGAGGATTATTATACCTGGCGGTATTGATGGATAAAATGCAAACTGCAGAAACCCAAGCACTCTCGCACTCCGACTAAAGAAATGTCCTCTACCCTTTCGTAGATCTACGGACATCCTTCTCTGCGCCTGCGTAGAAGCCCCCGCTTGCCTCCGTCGCAGCCGCCAGGGATCTACGCAGGCGCATTCAAGAATACCGTGACATAGCGGCAGGGGTGAGATCAGGTTTGGGTAGCGTGCTGGTTTGCGTTCACGGATGTGTCCCGGATGTAAACAGTTTGGGGCGGCGAGGTCACTTCCTCGTTGTAGTGGTACGTTTTGTACGGGCGGGCACGGCGATCATCAAGGTAGTGTCGCCTTGGATGGCGGGGGCGGGCGAGGGTCGAGTTATTGGAAGGAAGGAAGGAAGGGGATTATTATACCTGGCGGTATTGATGACTTTATTATTTCTGTGCTCCTAACGGAAAATTGTATTTGCAATGCAAATACTTCATATAGGTAAACTTGTACTTGGGAAGCTGCACAGAGATACGGATGTAGTATCTTGGAGTATTTATTTTACTGTCATTTCGCGTGCACTCTTATGCACAGTTGTTGCCTGCGGTTAGCCACAGAGTGTGCGAAGCTTTGGAGTAAACAGGATTGCGCTGTTAGAAGCAGAATTATGAAATAAATCCTGCTTATCTAATATAGATCTCTGTATTTTGCATTTATCTTGTTTGTGTGTTCTCTGCACTCAAGTCACATTGTGACCCTTGTAGGACTTTCAAGATAAGTGAGAGATTTAAGGAGTGGTTTTACCAGTTCCGCTTCCATGGCCAAGTGGGGATTCAGACCTTGCTCTCCAGAGTCCTAGTCCATCACTCTATCCATTACACCACATTATTTAGGAAATTAAAATTCCCCATAGTAAGGTATATACGTTACATGTGCCCCTATTTAGGAAATTAAAATTCCCCATAGTAATGTACTTGTGCCCTCAGCCCAGTCTGTCTCTGTGAAATTGAATTAGAAAATACTGTATTAATGCTGGGCTGAAAATGTTGCATAAATCTGATGCTCAGAGGCTGTGATGCAGTAGCTGTTCACATGCAAGTAAGCTGCTATTTGACTTGTTGAAATGTCCTTAGGATTAGACTTTTTAGTAATGTTTAAACTGGTGTTGTTTATGATACTGAAATCCAAGTTGTTCTTTTTCTGAAGCCAGTAGGTCTTACAGAATAATAGTAATAGACACTTAAATCTAGGCTTTTTTTTTTAACTTTTTTCACTCTGGGTTATAAAGGTAGCTTTCAGTCTACCCTTGAATCCATGTGTCAAAGTTATGTTGAATTAGAACTCTTAATGTGTCCAAACTGTCTCTTTATTGACCTACTTTCTTCCGTGTTAAAACATCCTTATTCCTTTGATTTGAGTGCAGTGGGACTTTTTAATGTTTCTGTTTAGCAGATCAGTTCCTGCATCTTGGTGTTAGAACTCCTTTTGGACTATTTAGCTATGTTTTAATCATTAAACCCATTTCTTAAATATGTCTTTTTAGAAATACTTTTAAGAAACAAATTTGATCAAAATATTTATTGAGTGTTGCAGCTACTGTCAGTTTACAGTATGTAATTAGGATCAATATGAACAAAATCTAGACAATGGAATAATACTTACCTTTACCAAAATTTAAATGTGTTCACAATCCATCATACTACTGACTTATTGTGTAGTCAGAAACTCAATAATTGTGATATAAGGGAAATGTGCACTTTTAATAAGGGAAAAGTGCCCATAAAAAGTGGCAGTTTAAAACCATGTCCCACCTAATGTGTTTTTTTTTTTAACTTCTAGCAGTTAAGTACCGGTAATCCATTGAGCAGAACTGATTTCTATGATTGAGAAGGTCGGCAGACTCAGAGTGATTTCTTAGTACAAGGACCTGATGTTTAAGGATTATGGGTTAAGCTGGAAGAAACTATAAAACAACACAATAAAATGACAATCTAAAGAACTAATATTATTTTGACATTTTTGTTCTACGAGATCCGAAGTACATATTACATGTGATAGGAAGCCAAAGGGGTGCTTAATTAATGTAACACTTCCTCCTATCTACCTGTTTGTTTAAAAGGCACTTAATAAAGCTGATTTCCCCCAAGACAAACAGCTACCAGGCTGTTGGTCCAGGCATGCATGTAGCATACTCTATTCAGGCGTTCTCAAACTGAGTAGAGTAAATGTGCATGAAGGTAGAAATGCTAACCCATCCCTAACTGTTGCTGTTTTGATCACTTTCAGCACATGGAGGTGACCTTCAGAAGGGGAGAGCTGCTTCTGTCCATGCACTGTGCATTCTGGTAAATCAAATTCGCTCCTCTTCAAAAAGTCACTCTCCATATGTAGGGAGCAATGAAAATGGAGACGGAGGAAGTTGGAACTAGTGCACATTCCCTACTTGCATGCTTACTTAATTGGAAAATACTTAAATAGGAGTATATAATTCTAGCCTAGATGTGGCTGAAATATAGGTCCAGTAAAGATGGCTTGGTAGCTCAGTGCATTGGGTAGCTGGATGCAGAACCAGAGGTCCGGTGTTTGATTCTGCACTGTCCCTTCTGGACGAAACTGTGTAATCTTGGGCAAGCTACACAGTCCAAGGGCACTCCCAGAAAAAGGGAATGGTAAACCACTTTTGAGCACTTTATACCTAGAAAGTTCTGGAAAGAGGCACTGTAAGTCATAATGAACTTGGTGGTCCATCATTTGTTATTATATATCTGGTAAGTTGGCTGCAGACAGTGGCCTTGTATGGTGTTTTTAAAACTGAAAAGAATGTATTGAAATACCTTAACTTTTCTTCTCCTCCTAGGTTACTTGGTTCAGATTTCCTGACCTAAGACAAGATGAATGGCTCATCACTGCTGCTGCGATTTCCTCTCTCCTGTTTACTTAAGAATGTTAGGAAATTATATCTGAAGAGTTTCTGCTGGAGCTATAGATTTGCTTTTCCATGTAGCCAGCAGAGTAAATCATTATCATTGTGTTGTTCGAGGAGAATGATCTCTGCTAATGGCTTGAAGACTGGCCTGTGCTATCCAGCAGCATTAGAACCACAGACCCCGGAGCTGTCTGACAAGGAGCAAAGACTTCTAGACAGATTGTACAAGGGCATAATCCAAGGGCACAGGGCCTGTTTGGCAGAAGCTATTACTCTTATGGAGTCCATGCACAGCAGGAAGAAGGAGGTTGCACAGGTGCTCCTTCAGAAGGTACTATCCTACCACAAAGAACAAGAACAGTTAAATAAAGGACAGCCACTAGCCTTTAGAGTGGGTCAGTTCACTTTTGTTTGTGCAGTTACTGTTTTTCTGATTTAAAGTGCTTTCAACTACCAATTTTAATGAAATCTGATTTGCCTAAGGTTAAAAGGGTGCAGATTGTGGTCAGTTTTGATCCCTCATGCAATAATCATATTTTTCTCCTTGCTGAGCACCTCTATTGTGAAGTCTATCCCAACATCAAGTTAAAGAATCCCCCCCCCCGTCTGTTATTTCCATTTGCACACAAAATGCTTTACTCCTTTGGTGCCACTTCTTAATTTGCTAGCAGTTTACTTTTTAATTGAAGTAATTGAGATTTGATTTCTGCAAAATATTTTTACATGTAATGTGCTTGTAAGCTAGGAAGAATGTTGAACCAATCAGACCTGAGCTGCTTTTGGAAGAGTAACTGATCCCTTTAAATAAAGGTGTCATGTGAAGTATGACTTATTTTTGAATAATATAAATATTGAAAGGTTAAAAAGCCTGTGGGGGCATTTGTAACTTGTGAGGCAAGAATAATCCTTGAGATAAATGCATACCAGAAATGCAATGCTTGTTGTTAGCTTTGCTATGAGTTATAGTTGATTGTGTGCCATGCTCGAATCAAGGATCTTTACATTTGCTATGTAGGTTTGTCCGGTCCCCCTGGTGCTGGGAAATCAACATTTATTGAATGCTTTGGGAAAATGCTCACTGAGAGAGGACACAAAGTATCTGTACTGGCAGTGGACCCCTCCTCGAGTACTAGTGGGGGTGAGTGTACTCATGAAAGGATTGCCTATTTCATGCTCTTCACATATAGGTTCAGGTTGCAAGCCCTTTTGCATTTATCTTGGGTCGGTTGTAATCAGAACAATTTATCAAAATGTATCACTTGTTCTCTTTTGTACCTTAAGAACTAATAATGGAACATGTTTATGAAAAGAAGATATTTCCACCCTCCACTTCTTGCTTCCTTGAAAAGACTCTCAGAAAGGTTCTAAACAGTGTGGGGTGAGAGAGGGGATCTGATGAAAGGAGATTGAGTGGAGGGACATTCCATGAGTAGCAGAGGTACTTTGCCAAACAGGTCTTGCTGAAGGCTGTAGACAAAAGCCGTAATTCTTTTAGAAGTATAAGCTTATGTTGATATGGGGCTTGGACAAAAGTCTCATATTTCAGTGGCTGAGCTATTGTGTTCTTTTAAGGTTCACTCTTGGGTGACAAAACAAGAATGACCGAGTTATCAAGAGATATGAATGCTTACATCAGGCCATCTCCAACCAGAGGAACCTTAGGTGGTGTGACACGGACCACTAACGAAGCCATCCTATTGTGTGAAGGTGGAGGCTATGACATTGTTCTTGTGGAAACAGTAGGTGGGTGAAACTCTTTTTATGCAGGTCATAGCATGGCTTCAGTCATGATGAGGTTCAGTGGCCGTATTTTGCCCTCTCACCCATTGCGTCTAGAATGAGAGAAAGGCGCAAGTCTTGCATGCAGCCAAGTCAGCGGTAAATTATAGCAAAATTCTGCTTGGGGGGGGAAACTGTGTCACCATAAAATAATGCACAGCGGTAAATTATAGCAAAATTCTGCTTGCGGGGAAAACTGTCACCATAAAATAATGCGGTTCATTGGACCCTGCACATACACCTCTTTGGGAACAGTTGCTCCCCTGTATTTGCAGATGCAGTTTGCCATGTAGTTATTTGCAATGAATGGTCAATTTCTGTGTTTCATTCTCAGGTGTGGGGCAGTCGGAATTTGCTGTTGCTGATATGGTTGATATGTTTGTATTGCTGCTGCCACCAGCGGGGGGTGACGAGTTGCAGGTATTCATGCTGCTTTTGGTAAAAATCTATTCTCAGTATAGTAGACTAGATAGCTCAGTAATTTAAGTATCTGGCTGTGGAGCCAGAGGTGGGGAAATTGCTCTGCCTCTTGCAAGTAGAGCTGGCCTGTGTGGTCCTGAGCAAGCTGCCCAGCTCTAAGCTGCCCCTAGAAGAAGGGAATGGTAAGCCACTTCTGAGTACTCTCTACTTGGGAAATGGTAAAAATCTATTCTCAGTATAGTAGACTAGATAGCTCAGTAATTTAAGTATCTGGCTGTGGAGCCAGAGGTGGGGAAATTGCTCTGCCTCTTGCAAGTAGAGCTGGCCTGTGTGGTCCTGAGCAAGCTGCCCAGCTCTAAGCTGCCCCTAGAAGAAGGGAATGGTAAGCCACTTCTGAGTACTCTCTACCTGGGAAACCTGAAAAGTGTTGATGTAAGTCAGAATTGACTTGGTGCACACGGTTATCATTATTATATAACCACTGGAGACTTTCTAAAAGTATCATGTGTCAGCTTGGTCTGCCAGTACTCATCCAACAAAATATGGTGGTTAGTATTGGGCAAACTTTTGCTGGTTTTAAATGACCACAGTACATCTTGAAATGGGCAACCATTTGTAATTTGTATTAATAATTTTGTGTGTATTTTAAGTATGCATGGCTTTTCATGTTTGTCTTTGAAACAGTGCCTTTCAATGGGATGTGCTGCTTTTTGATTTTATGTTTAATCCTTGGGTTTACAGTGTAGTTTGCAGTTTTTATTATTTGTACATCACCTCACTTTGATGTACAAATAATAATGACACGTTGATGCACAAAGCTGGCACTTTGACCTGGTCCACTTTCAATGCAGCCTTAAATGGATGACTGTAGATCAGCCATCCCCAAGCTGGTACCCTCCAGATGTGTAGGACTCGATGCTACCAGCCCCAGCCCATATCATGCTTAGAAGACACCAGGACGAGAAAGGCTGGCGTATTTCACCTTTTAAAATCATTTCCTAGCATGCCTTCCTTGATCTTCCACCAAATGAGATGTTAACATTTCCTATTCACCTCTAAAGCTGTAGTGTTTCATATCTGACATCTCAACTCACTTGCCTTAAGAATTGGGCACTAAAGCACTAGGTTCCCAATATGTACGCAAAATATTTTCCATCACTTCTTACTCTGAGTTTTATGGGAAAAGGCAGTCAAAAGCCTATATGCTTTATTTTTATAATGCTCTATGGCTGGCCAAAGGAAAGGTTGATTAGTTGTAGACAATGTTTCTAAATTTTAGTTCTTCCTTCCTGTTTTCAGGGTATCAAACGAGGTATAATTGAGATGGCAGATCTTGTTGTTGTAAACAAAGCTGATGGGGATCTCATAGTGCCAGCACGGAGAATTCAAGCTGAATACATCAGTGCTCTGAAATTACTCCGCAAGCGTTCACAGGTCTGGAGGCCGCAGGTAGGTACATCCCAAGTCATCTTTTTTCCTTTTTTGGCCAGAAAAAATTACAAGATATAAGTGAGAGTATGCTAAAGCTAATACCATAGAAATCATTGTAATTGTCGAAATGCAGTTGTCGAAATGCTAGTGTTAACTACCTTGTTTTCTATAACACATCTTCCATATTTTCCTGCAATAGTGAAATATCTATAAAATGTATTCCACAGATTTCTGTAATAGTGATTTAAGTACGTAATGTGTCATCTGTCTGTTGGTGAGACATATTAGGACCTCTTTCAGCAGATACATAAATTGTCTTAGGTTTTTCTCTCTCCTTATACTCATAACTTCTAAATACAGTATTCATTTATTTTACTTAAAAAATTGTAGATCAATAATTAATAAAATTGCCCAAGGGCGCTTGCAATAAAAATCTAAAATATATTCTGTTGATGTGTTTAATGTATACAATGTTATTATGTTACTAACTGTGGGGATATATAATATCAGATTTATGTGTTTATTTTATATTGTATGTAGGGATTATTCATGGCTATATCTCTGATGTTTTTAACAATTTACTAATGCTAAAATCGATCTAACCATTCCTGATGCTAATGTTTAGTTCTTTACCTAACTCCAAACTAACTCTTCAGATTAATGCATTGTTTTAATGTCCCTGGCAGTTTCTAATAGAGCCTTTTAACTGTACTGTCTTCATTTCATCTAAATATTTAAAACTATAAGATTTACCCATCTTAAAAATTGTAAAAGAGCCTCGTGGCGCAGTGATTAAACCGCTGTACTGCAGCCAAAACTGTGCTCACGACCAATGCATTGTTTTAATGTCCCTGGCAGTTTTAATAGAGCCTTTTAACTGTACTGCCTTCATTTCATCTAAATATTTAAAACCATAAGATTTGCCCATCTTAAAAATTATAAAAGGGAAAAAATCTTAATGAAAAGCAGGCACAGTACCAGTAGGCCATCCCCCCCCTCAAAAAAAAGACCAATATGGCAACTTCCCCAAAGTTAGTGGAATTGATTGATGAAAACATACGGTCAAAAAGAGGTGACACTTGAATCTCTTGAGGGAATTCTGTAACTAAATGACGCCTGCAAAAAAAAGGGGGAGGAAAAGTGGGGAATAGTTTTGTATTTAATATTTGTAAAATGTTCGATTGTCTTTTCATTCTTTATAAATAAATAAATAAATAAAAGGGAAAAAAATCTTAATGAAAAGCAGGCACAGCACCAGTAGGCCATCCCTCCCCCAAAAAAAGACCAATATGGCAACTTCCCCAAAGTTAGTGGAATTGATTGATGAAAACATACGGTCAAAAAGAGGTGACACTTGAATCTCTTGAGGGAGTTCTGTAACTAAACAACGCCTGCAAAAAAAGGGGGGGACTGCTAGTGGGGCATCTGGAGCTGGCAGTACCTCCTCAGTTTCCTGTCTTATTGTGAAGCCTGGGTAGAGCTCATAGAGAAGAAGCATATGCTGCACAGTTATTTTTAGACCATAATATGTTAGCATGGGGGTGGGGATTTTAAAAGGGCAGCTTCTTATTTTATGAGATTTAATTTTTTTTTCATTTTTAAATTAAACACTAATAATTAAAAAAAACTTAAGCAAATCCTTGTCAAATAAGCCCTCCAGACATTTTGAAAGCAATTAGTAAATGCTGTTTATACATGAGGAAAGTAACAATCCTACTAAGCATTAAGTTGTTTCTCAAAAGGGGTGTCTTTAGTTCCTCGTTTTCCCCCCAAAGCGTATTACAAGTAGAACATTTTCCCAATTTTGGAAAGAAGGTACTGTTTGAGACAGCTTTAGAAACAGATCACGGGAGTCAAATTACCTGAAGACATTTAAAGCTGAAACAGCACTTTGAACTGAACCCAAAAACAAACTCATAACCAATGTACGTATCTCAGAATAGATGTCATACATTCAATCACTGCCGATTCCTATCAAGAGATAGGCAGCTGTGTTTTGGATCAGTGAGGTTTCCAGATCATATTCAGGAGTAGATTCAGGTACTTTTTAAAAAACAACAGCAGTAATTATATTGTGTATTAGATATCCCTATCATGTTGGTATTATTTATTTTAAAAATGTCAATTTCTAAGAACCATTCCAATTTAAAAGTTTCCATTTCAATGGTTTTTCATAGCTGTACAGTTTTGGATGATGCATGCCTTTGTATTGGCTCTAAAGGTTTAAAAGTGAAATTGCAAGTTGAATGTGATTTTACAGGGTCCGTGTCATTGTGCACTTGTGTTTAGATGAACCACAGTAACCTTATTATCTTCCATCTTTTTTTGAAAACGTTCTGAATCAAATAGGTAATGCGAATCTCTGCCAGAACTGGAGAAGGCGTTTCTGACGTATGGGATAAGATGACAGAATTCCGAGGCCTCATGCTTGCAAGTGGAGAATTGCTTGCCAAAAGGAGGAGGCAGCAAAAAGTGTGGATGTGGAATGTGATTCGGGAAAGCATGCTGGATCATTTCCGGAGCCACTTGGCAGTGAGAGATCAGATTCCGCTTCTGGAAGAAAAGGTTGTCAGTGGTGTTCTGTCTCCTGGACTGGCTGCAGACATGCTGCTGAAAGCTTTTAAAGAAAAATCCTAACACCTGTTATGTAAAATATAAGAACATTAAAAACATATAAACATTACAATTTTTCTGAGGCATTTTTTTTTCAATTTTAGTGAATCTGTATACTTCTACAGAGCAAGCATCTGTTTTGTTGGATTCCCAGTGTGGTGCAGTGGATAGAGTGATGGACTAGGACTCTGGAAAACAGGGTTTGAATCCCTGCTCAGCCATGGAAACTGACTGGGAGAATGGAACTGATAAAACCACTCCTTCAATATCTCACTTATTTTGAAAGCCCTATTAGTTGACAGTAAGTTGGTTCTGACTTGATGGCACAAACACACACAGAGCAACAGAATTATGTAAAGTTAATTCTCTTCATTTGCATTGTGGTTATAGATGGATAGTTGTGATGGCATGCTACTGCGTTGGATAGGTCTGCTGCCATGCATTTGCAACTTTTAGATAATCTGCAGGATATACTGGAGATATTCAAGTGCTGTTAGCACAATGCTGTTAGCACAATCCTGTCTTCTCTGTCAATGTCTTTTTCATGGTTACAGTGCTAGGGCTGAAAAAGAGAGGCTCCTGCTTATGTGTAGGCTCTGGAAAATCTGGATTCTTGCTCACATCCATCCTCGTCGTCAGACCTGAGACAGTAGCTGTGAAGAATGTAATGACAGAAAGGATTGAGCTGGTGGACTCTCCTCAAAGTGTGTGGGTTCCACATGCTTCCTTTTCTGAAGAGAGCTCTATTTAGTTGTAAAGGAAGCACCTGGAGCCCACACCCACTGCAGGGAATGTACTAGCTCTGCCCTCCCTATCATTGGATTGAACACAAACACAATGGTGTGAAGATAAGAGACTGCTGTATCCCTCCGGCTTCTCCACATGAACCAGAACCCCAGTTCTGGATAGTGAAGGCTCGGCTCGCATGGAGAAACTATCTTAGTATAACAGCCTCCTTGTTTTGTCTTGTAACGATGTTGAATGTGACAATGGAGGGGATGGGTTTAGTATTCCCCCATCAACCTGCATAGGCTCCACAACTAAGTGGGGCTAATATTGACAGAGTGCTTTGTTAGGTCTACATTTTTGCCCTACCCCACCTGATTGTATTCATTGGTAAAATCTACCTGCTGGTACCTTGTGATTTACAAATTGCTGTTGAAATGGTGATTGGACATCAGCTTGTCTTTAACTTAATTCCAGTTCTGAAGACCATAACTAAATGTGTCTACACAAAGTAAGAGAATTACTTTGTATTGCTAACACTATGAGAATTGCCAGTACTGTACTGTATTGCATGGGTCTGAGAATACTAGCAGCTTGACCCTAAGACTTGTTACAACAGGAAGAGGATGAGTCTCTCCATCAGCACCAGCTTGCTTCACACCATCCAGCTATGTTTATGCTTGGATGTGAATTCTTTCTACCACAAATTGCGTGTGCTAGCCCTACTTGTGTGTGAATATGTTCAGGTCTTGGTTCATGCATTTCTGCAATCTTGTGTGCATGCGCACACACAGAGGGACAGGACACACTGAACCCAGAGACCCCTTTTTCAGAGCAAAAATGTATAGGCAACACAGGTAACATTTATTCTGACTTTACCGGGATTCTCTCACACATTTTAATACTAAAATTTCATGGGGAGTAATTAGATTTCTGGCTGAGAAACCTCATGGAATATTGCTCAGCTTAGCTAGGGTGTTTTTAAAAGTGATATGTTGCAAACAACATGAGTAAGGTATCACATGATCCACAGTGTTAAAAGGCAACAGTGTGCCACACCATATCCCCACTACTTTACTGCTGAGCAAAATTTAAGGGATTCAATAATCTCTTGGGGACATTTATCCACATAAAATCTCGTTTCTCCTTGAAATGTGGCACTTTAAGTGATCTGCCATTGTCTGGCTGTTACACTGTCAGAGTTGTTCTCATTAGGAAGTTTCCCCCCATATATCTAATCTACACTGGTCTTTTGTAAATCCATTACTTCCTGTAATACAAGCTTGGGTTGCCTTTAATATGTATAGCCCTTCTGCCTATTGCTTCCTTATTTCTGTAGAGTTGCCATGCCCTTTTTCCTCTCTAACTGCTCATGTAGTTAAGTAGTTATTTCTCCTCTTGCCTTACAATATATGCTTACCCTTGAGTTGGACTCCTATTTTCAGTGCTATGTAAAAGTAGACGAGACCACACTCTCTCAGAAACATTATTTTCTACTTTTTGAGGGAAACAGGCTTGTTTCTGGCAGATTATACATTATGCTTCTTCGCTGTATATGTTGCACTTAAGCTTCTTCTGCTTTGCCATTAATTTAGTTAGCCTAAAATAAAAGCCTTTCAAAATGCTGTCCTTGCTTCTGTCCCCTCCCAGCATCCATAGTCCAGATAATGTGCTCATCTTTTGGGATCCTTTAGCACTGAGAATTCTACACGAGGGAAGTTCCTGTTGAAATTTGTGTGTAGCACAATATCGCACATTCGTAAGTCAGAGGTTTTTTGAAGAATTGAATCTCTCTAAGTTTATTGCTTGGCAACACAGCTTTCTAGATGAACGTGATCTATACTTTATTAAATGTTTGTTTAATAATGGTGAATTTTTATTTCTATAGGAAATTACAGAATTATTGGGGAAGAGGCTTATACCACCCATGTTTTAATTCCTTCTGTTGCGACATACAGAAGTGCCCTTAATGAAAAACAAAAGTTCAAAAGAATAAATTCTTGAAATAATAAAGTCTGTATCTCAGAGCCTTATTAGCAAAATGTATAAAACATTATCAAACTTATTAAAAGAGGATTATCATTTTAAAGAGAAATGAAGGTCAGGAGCAGAGTATATTTGACAGGATGAGACTGGCATCATAGAACATTCCATCAAGCTTGCTTTCAGCAGAACTAAAAGAAAAATTGAAAAATACAACAGCGGTGGAATCACCAGATCTATACAGCTCCCAGAATATATATATATATTCATTTTCCATCAGGTCAGGGAAGATAATTGGGAAGGGGGTTGGGAACAAGGTACTGGGGTAAATTAAAAATACAGAATGTGGTAGAGAGCAATATATATCATTATTTTACCGATATGTTTTCTTACTAAGCTTACTTCACACTAATCTTGCCAATGTTTTCTAAGCCCTTAAGATCTACGATGAGATCTTAAATATTTTTCTTATAATTTTAACCCATTCATGTTCTCATCTCTCATCTAATTAAACAAATGTCCCCATTTTTTCTAGCCTCAGCAATTTCTTTGTCTTTTAAAACTTCAGTTAAAATATCCATCTCTGCTGCTTAAAAAATATTTCTATCAACTCCTGGATTGTTGCAGTCTCCTCTTTCCCCCCCAGTATTTGGCATATAAAATTCCATCCAGATGTGGAGGGATCATATTTATTGATGTACCAGTTATTCCTGCTGCATGGAATAAGGAAGGAGGGAGAAAAGCAGAAAATACATAGAAAGGAGAAGCGCTGTTCTTCTGACTTCCTTTTATGCCTTGTATGTCATAGGTAAGGTGATAGAAGGAAAGGGGAGGTGACTTGTCAGTTTTATGAGTGCTGAGCCACAGACAAATGAAGATGCTGAGCAGAGGCACACCTGTAGGAAATGTGTGTCTAGTAGACACCCACAAACTGCACAAAACAGTAGTGATCAGGGTGATATAACAATCCACCCAGGCAGAATTAATAATGGTACAAAGCTGCACAAAGGAACAAACAAAAAACACCACTAGTATCTGGTGGTGTAAATTAACCTAGAAGGCTAGGTTAATTGGTCCCATTTTGTCAGTGTTGACACTGTTATAGTGTAGCATCATAAGGACTCAGAAAAACAGCAGCAGCACCAATTTGCTTGTTAGAAAACAAGTACCCCACATGAGTCCTAAATTTACTAACAGCAGCTATGATTGTGCAGCAAGTTTTTGCAAGTTATTTGCTGTCACTTCCTTCAACGCAGTGATGACATTCAGTTTCAGGTAAATTATTCAGCAGGGATATGTTCTAGTGGTGGGTGGAGGCAGGGTAAAAGAGATGGGGTCGAAAATGCCAAAACATTATTTAAAGCTCTAATTCTATACCCTTAGAAGGGGGAAGTATCTCTACAAAATGCAAGAACAATCGTATTGTTACAAGGATCCCTAGCAGGACCGAATTTGGCTGGCAGTTTCCCCATCTCCAGGCTTACCTTGCAATCTGAAGCATTCTCTATAGAAGGAACAAACTGTCAACCAGTGTGTGAGGGTTCGATTCCCGGCTCCTGACTAGCCCCAAATAAATCACCAGACTTGCATGGCTTTGAAACTGGGGTAACATTTATTGCATTATTTAACAAAAATCCTGTGTCAGCAAACGTATTACAACCTTTCTCTCTGTCAAACAGGTCTGACGGAGGTTTCCATTCATCAATCTACTTTGAAGGGGTTTCCTTCTTGAACATTCCAGGGTCTCGGCCAGTCCAGGGATGTACCCGGGTTTAATAGTGGTCCATTGTCCCCTTCCAATAAGGGGATTATGTCCTCATCTCTGTTGTCCCCCCCAGGCAAGGTCTTGGGTGGGATCAACCATTTGCTGGGGTCCTCCCATCCCCCTGTCCGCTGCATCTCCCACATTCTCCATTCCAACCTCTCCCTCTGCTCGCTTCCAACCTTCTCTTTCTCTTCCCTTAATTTCCTTCTCCACTCCTTAGTCTCCTTCTCACCCAAGTAGGATGGTTTGGGGGTGTCTTCTTGTCTCCTCCTGACATCAGCCTCCTCTTTGGGGACTCTTGCTTAATTTCCTTCTCCACTCCTTAGTCTCCTTCTCACCCCAGTAGGATGGTTTGGGGGTGTTTTCTTGTCTCCTCCTGACATTTCTTGTCTCCTCCGGACCCTTTGGGGACTCTTAGCTTTTCCACCATTCCATTCCAGGGGTCTTCTACCCACATCCATTCCCAACCTCCTGGAAGTTCTCCTTCACCCCCCTTTATATCCGCTAGCCCTTCTCCACTCCTTAGTCTCCTTCTCACCCCAGTAGGATGGTTTGGGGGTGTTTTCTTGTCTCCTCCTGACATTTCTTGTCTCCTCCGGACCCTTTGGGGACTCTTAGCTTTTCCACCATTCCATTCCAGGGGTCTTCTACCCACATCCATTCCCAACCTCCTGGAAGTTCTCCTTCACCCCCCTTTATATCCGCTAGCCCTGCCTCCACTACTACTTGCACTTTCCCTTCTGCTCCCACCAAAACAGTCCCGGTCTCCTTGACCGTTAATTCTTTCAAATCCTCCTCCATCCTCCCTGGGTCTGGTCCAGGTGGTCTTATCTTCCTGGGTGGGGGAATTGGCGGGGTCTGACTCTCTTTATCGACGGTAGGCAGGAGGGACGGCACTCCCGTGAGAGGAATCTTACTCTCACCTCTGGTCTTACACAGTGGTCAGTTATGCAGCCCAGCTTCTTTTGTGGCGCAGGAAAGGCTTCTGATTTTCCAGAAGTTTAGGTGCAACTTAAGCAGAGGTTTGCACAAAGGGCTTTGCTGTAGCCACTTAAGAACCAAGCCTTGTTTGCAGGAACAGTTTCAACTAACCATCTTGTGCTGATGCATTCAACAGAGCAGAATGCTGCAGATCAGACTGAAAAGCTTTCGTGTATCAAAGGGATATGCAGCTATGCTTGGGAAGCATCTTTCAGAGCGGGAGCTGTAATTAGGTGGTTGCAGATACAACCAAGCATAGCATCTTTCAGAGCGGGAGCTGTAATTAGGCAGCTGCTGCAGCAGCAGATACAATAAATATTTCTTTACTGCCTTAAAGGATAATAAATTTTCTAGTATACACTCTCATAGACTAGACCAACTTCACCAGCTACATGAAGTGTTGTCATCAGAGGGCAGTTATATTCCCATATGGATGAAGGCAGGTGACAGGGAGTTGTACATCTTTCAGAGCGGGAGCTGTAATTAGGCAGCTGCTGCAGCAGCAGATACAATAAATATTTCTTTACTGCCTTAAAGGATAATAAATTTTCTAGTATACACTCTCATAGACTAGACCAACTTCACCAGCTACATGAAGTGTTGTCATCAGAGGGCAGTTATATTCCCATATGGATGAAGGCAGGTGACAGGGAGTTGTAAAACATATGTAGAATAAGAAGAGTGACCAAAAATGGTAGCAACACAATGATCTTTGTATGACTGGGTAAATCATCTAATGTAGCGGTATATGAGAACATATGAAGAGTGTTTCTGGACTAGAGTGCAGGTCCATGTTTTTCAACCTGCTTTCACACATTGGCCAACCAGCTGCCCATGGGAACGCCAACAAGCAGAACATAATAGCAATGGCCTCTCATGGTCCCCAGCAGCTGATATATTCTGTTCAGATCCAAACAGATGAAATCAATGTTTATTACCATTTCTAATTAAGCTAAAGTAAAAGCATATTTACAGCAGGAGACAATGGCTGAAATTCTGTTGCTTAATGTAATAAGTCATAACTAGAGTAGGCCCATTGAATCAGTGGAACCTATGGAGGTGTTGACTTATCAAGTCACCACTGATTCCACAGGACTACTCTAGTTGTGACTTACTATGCTAAACAGGGTTTTAGCCATTACATGTCTTGTTGGAAAATGAATTGATGAATTAACTGATGATGTCATGGGTGACAATATTAGGGGCTGAAATGGCATTGCCAAAGTAAATATAATGAAAAATTGACATCTGGGCTTTCTTGTAGCATCTAGTCACCGTTCGCTTACATGGCCTATTACGAATGTCACTTCTCAGCTTCATATGCTGAGAGGCCCTCTGTGGTGTCTTTAGGTCCCTACACAGTTAGCATGTGCTTAGGGGCTTAAGTGAGGATTGGAGATCAAACAAGATATAATGAACAGACAATTAGGAGCAACAGTAATTCTAAATTAATCAGGAATGGAAGGGTGTAGGTGACATGAAGGAGGCTGTGGTAAAATTGTATGCCCTTGAGATGTAGAGATTAAAACTACTTTCCTTTTGAACATGGTGGGATAAGCTGACTCCCTAGGAAACATGCATAGCATTGCACAGTTAGTCAATACTTTTTGTGCTTAAGCCCACACAAAATGCAGGTTACACCTTTAACTTCTTCTGCCCCTTTGCCTTTCTTTATATGCTCTTCACAATGCTTCTGATTTCATGCCTCGTTGCTTAGCAACGTTGCTTAGAACAAGGGCAAAGCCCTTTTCTTTCCACTCTTCCTTCCTTTTTCCAGGAGACTGCAGGCTAGGTCACAACTCAGAGAGGTTATTGACAACAAGGAGTGACTAATTGCCAAAAGCTATGTAGAATTGTTGGTTGGCTTTGAATTATGTAAAATTATCAGCTGGCTTTGAATTAGTAGCCCTCATGGCCAACTATTTGTTCTTAGCTCCTGGCTTTACATTGCCCTTTAGCCCTCTCTCTCCTGAAGCTTTCGAAGAGATCAAATGCATTGCTGTCAAAACTTGGAAACAACAGGCTCAGGAGAGCCGGAATTGTTCCACAACCTACGCTGGGGCTTTTGGAAGAAAAGGCCTGGAGGACCCTACCTATTGCTATGTTGCCCCCTCTTCTCCTACCAGAATACACAAACCACATCCAACTGAGTAAGCATTTTATTACTCTTGTGGGAAGAATGAAGCTACCTGCTTTAGGAAGTACCCCCTAAAAAAGAATTCGGGCAGAGGGCAAGAAGTGACATTTCGACAGCACAAGCTATGTAAGATTATTTGCAGAAGTTGGGAAAGCTCCTTGGGAAAATTACTCCAGAATCTGGGAACTGCCATCCCAAAAGTAACCCTTTTAGGCTCTGTTTTGAAGTAACACCTCTTAGATTGGTAATGGTATATAAGATAAATGTTTGAAGGGCTCAGCAAGACTTACCAAAGAGGCACCCTTCACTAGGCTTGGGCATTTGGACTCCAATGTAAGTAGTAAACAGACTCTAGCTTACTTAGTGACAGATGTTGACAAAAACAGCTAGTTTGCTGTAATAAAGTAGCTTATCTCACAAAATTATTCAACTTAAATGAGATAAATATGGATTAACTCTGTAGAGCTAATGAAAGCTCATTTGTCATTTCCAGCTCACAAATACTTGTATAGGCTAAACGGATGAAAGACTGAACTTTATGCTTCTCGCGTATGAAGGTGGTAGACGTCAGTAAATAAATTTTTGCTGGTGATCAATATGAAAGCTTTCAAGATCTACTGAACTTTCTGAAATCTTTTTCTTTTTCTTGGCAAAGAGCTGTTCTTATTTTATTGAAACCTTTTTTTGAAGGGATGGGTGCCATGTACCATGGGAATATAGGCCTCTTTCAGTTCAGGCTGTTTATAGTTGGGGCTCTTTGGTACAGAACTGTGGTGACTGGAAGATCTTATAATTATAGGAAGGGCCCGTGCAGAAAGGTAAGCTCTGGATTATGCTGTTCTTACTGTTAAAATGGCTGACTGCCATTAGTGACTCTTAAGGCCAAGGTTCCCAAGACGAAGGTGGAGGGAAATGTATCTCTCATGTTCCAGAGGTAATTTCCCATGATTCACTTTGTCCAGGAAAAACAGGAAAAAGATGCCCATTGCTGTTATAGATTTTTGCCATTTCCTATTGGTTCTAGATATATGAGAGGTTGTATTTCTTGGACTGGTAGACAATATCGGAATACTTTATACATGAAAAACTCTGGAAGGATTGCCATAATTCTGATGACCCAATGATTGAGTGACCTCCAAAATGTCCTATGATTAACAGCCCTGCTCAGCTTTTGCAAATTCAAACCTGTGGCTTCCTTAAGGGTGTCAATTAATCTCACATTTGGTGTTCCTCTTCCTGAATCAACTTGGTGGCACATAATTTAGGTTTCCTTCCAGATGGAGATCTGATCTGATCTTTATTTTAATGCCTGGGTACGAGGTGCCTTTGCTGCAGATGTAGATAATGATATTTGTGTACACTAACAAAGTCTCTAAAGATTTGAAAGAATTCCCATTTGGAACTTGTATTCTTGAGCAAAACTGTATATGAAGATTAGAAGATTAAACCTATTAATTTTCTCGCACTAACAAAGTCTCTAAAGATTTGAAAGAGTTCCCATTTGGAACTTATATTCTTGAGCAAAACCATATATGATAGTTGATCATTAGAAGATTAAACCTATTAATTTTCTCATGGTGGAATTCAGATAGAGCTTCATGATGGAACAATGATATCTGCAGACAAAGCCTGTGCTTGGCACCCAACAGCTAATCACAAACTAAAGCAAGCTAACCTGCACCTTACAGGAGGTGTGGAAAGGTACTGTGAAGACAATGAGATGTTTTCAGCATTTAAAGAATTCCCTCTTTTAATAATGGGCTGTCTGTAACATACAGTTTGACCCTCAGTACAACAGAATTGTATACAACAAGTAGTGATGTGAGATAGGGTTTGTTAATGGACTACCATTGATCTTAGAGCAGAAGTTCATGCAAAAAAAAGTGTGCATTGCTAGAATTAATGCTAAATAGTAGAAAAATAAGAATACTTATAATATGAGAAAAAATCTCTGGCAGTCATTAAGTCATTGATTGCTGCTTCTTTTAATCTAACAAACAGTGAGGCAATCTTAAAGAAATCTTGGAAAATTCTGGGTGGTCAGAGCAAGAACCTCCTGTGCTTTGATAGCTAGTATAGATATACTAAATTTACTAATTTCATTTTTTAATTTTTCCATGCTGTCAGTAAGGAGAAGATGATCTCATGGTTTATACAAATTGCATGCGTGATGAAAAGCAGCTGTCTATATTTAATGTATGGGACATCTAAAAAAAGAAGAGTTGTGCCTTTAAGAAAACTGGAGGGTTAACAGGCATAGAAACACATAGCCATGAGAATACCTTGGTCTGATCTGGCATGACTCTTCTTATGTTCTTCATACCAACAGTCCTCATAGAGATGCAGCACCATTATGAGAACATTGTCATGTCCAACATTCTGTTCACAGAGTTGTCAACCAGATACCAAGGGGGAATCCACCAGCATGATATAAATGCAGTTGCACCCTCTGCTTCACCTCCTCCAGTGAATAATGTACATAGACATATTGCCTCTGATATTGTTATCAATATATAGTCATACTGACTTGTGGGTATTGATGGCCTTGGCCTCCATGGGTGTATGCTGTCATCATTTTTTAGACTATCTGATAATAGAAAGTTCTTTGGGCAGTGTACAGAGTTTGTAAAATGTCAGTAGGGTATATAATTTTATTATGGAGGACAAGGATAAATAACAACAGAGATTGTCTTCCTGTTTCAGTCTAGCTCCTTTCAGAACTTTCAACTGAGCTGGGCATTCCTTATATTTGGAATAAAGACCTCATACTTTACATTAAGCCATATATCACATCTTCAGTATGGCAGCACTTTCATTGCTTTGTACAATCATCACAAAACAAGCACAATCCATTTTGTGGTTTAAGGCAAAGCACCAAGTGGCACCCCAGCCCCGGTAACAAAAAATGAATATCGAAATCCAAGTTGCTTTAGCATTTGTGGGCAAAAGTCGTGCAAGCACCTTTCCCTTTCCAGGACAGTTACAACCAAAATTATTGTAAATAACTAACAATTTGCTGCCCAGATTTGACAACCAAGTTGGCCGTTGGAAGTACGCCAATTTTGTTCTTTCAGATACCATTATCATTCCAAATAGACATCCCTTTTTTCTGCTTAACTGCTGAGGTATGGTTAGACCACATGGACACTGTTATTGCGGACCTTTCTTTGGATTAGATTCTCATTCCTGCCCACATGTGCAGGATAGGACAGGTTACTGACCCTTGCCCTGTGGGATTCTGGGAACTTCAGCTCAACAAGTGGCTTTTCCAAGCTCAGATCCAGGACAACATACTCTCAAAAACAGTAAGGCATAAATTACCTCCTTTCCCACCCTGATCTCCTTTATCTCAGCTTACAAATCTCTATCTTTAGTCTCAACATTAGTATTTATGGTTTACTGTACATCATCTGCTTTAACGTTCTCCCTTGTTTTTCCAGTAATACCTTCTTTTGTGTTTTTTCTAGTGTGTTTTTGGTAAACCAGCTTCACCAGCTACCTGGACCTTATGGCGTTCCAAGACGAACTGCGGCAACTGACAGTGGTATAAAAGAAACAAACACACTATTTTCTAGCAAAAAAAGATGGTTGAGCAATAAATCTAACTTTAAAACCTCAATTGATGATGGAGCAGTGGGAGATGACCAGAGAATTCTGGATGAGAAGGTGTGTTTTTGGTAAACCAGCTTCACCAGCTACCTGGACCTTATGGCGTTCCAAGACGAACTGCGGCAACTGACAGTGGTATAAAAGAAACAAACACACTATTTTCTAGCAAAAAAAGATGGTTGAGCAATAAATCTAACTTTAAAACCTCAATTGATGATGGAGCAGTGGGAGATGACCAGAGAATTCTGGATGAGAAGGCCTTGAAAATTGATGATGGAGCAGTGGGAGATGACCAGATGAGAAGACCTTGAAAATAACTGGAGCAATAACAAAAATAGGAAGGAAGATACAAGGACGTCTGATATTGTATGCAGCTGGTAGCAGCTGGAAAGTGGCTGTTAGTCCAACAAATTATGTTTGTAGACAAACTCTAGATGGCACCATAGAGCAGAGCACATTTCAAAACAAATCTCACTGAATTTAAGTTGAAAAACTTTTGAAAGTTGAGTGCTCACAGTTGGCTATATCTGTTACATACAGGTGGCTCTTGTATTTTAATAACTGTAAGGGTCATGTGAGGGAGTTAAACTGAGGGAAAGTTAGTTAGAAGTCCAGTGAAATCCATGGCTAAACAAAGTTTTGAAGCCAAGGATCACTGGTCTCCAGTTGACTAGAGGGATGCAGTTTGTAGTCTTGGACTGCAACTCCCCAAATTGGTCAAACAGCTATATATTCCACCCCTTGTAACTGTCTAAGGAATTCTGGGAGTTGTAGTCCAAAATACAAATAGGTGGAGAAAGGGATACAAATAGGAGGAGAAGGGGACGACAGAGGATGAGATGGTTGGACAGTGTCATTGAAGCAGCCAACATGAATTTGACACAACTCCGGGAGGCAGTGGAAGACAGGAGGGCCTGGCGTGCTCTGGTCCATGGGGTCACGAAGAGTCAGGCATGACTAAACGATGATGTGCTAGACAGTTTATTGAGTGAAGAGAAGACAGACAAGATCTGGTTGTACTAGTAGGCTGATTTCAGATTCCTCCTCCTATATTGCCAGTGTAACTTCAGTGGCCTGCTGTTGGGGTTACTGTTGTTGTGCAGGGTAGGGAGGGAGATTATGGCACAAGAGGAAAGCAACTAGGGAGGGAGATTATGGCACAAGAGGAAAATATCAGAGAGAGAAGTGAGGACACTGGCTACCACCGGCTTCAGCCCTAGGCAGATTATCCCACATGCATGCACACACACACACACATACATACATACACAAGGAAATATGGTGCTTCTTAGGAAGTCATGCACACACACACACACATACATACATAAGGAAATATGGTGCTTCTTAGGAAGATGATCCAGCAGCATTCTAGATTCTGCTATCCAATATATTCAGCCTTCTTGATATCAGAATGTTTAGCACACTGGGAAAGAAAATGATATCCAGACTCATTCTTTTGGAAAATAGGAAAGCAAGTACAGTATTTATTACAGAAAATGCATTGAAATAGAAAGCCTGCTATTCCAGTAAACAAAACTGGAGATGCAGAAAGCCATGGCTTTTCCCTTGCCTCTAGAGAAGGAGCCAGATGCCTCCTTTCAAGAAGAAACTTGAGAAAAGTGTGAGAAGAAGAAAAGGGAAGTGACATCGGCTACCTAAGATATCACAGTCACAGCTAAACAAAGGTCAGCATAGGTCAAATCATGCAAAGGATAATTTAAGAAATTCAAGAAAGGCCCCCTCTGTCATGCAAAAAATTGTATCTTCAGTTTAGGCTGACTTGAATGCCATCACCTCCAATGGCCCTCAACAAAAGAAAAAAGTTCCCTCAACTACTTGGTTTAGAAATGCAACCTCTGCATGCAATTAAGCATGGAATTAGGCCTGAAGCTGTAGCCCCTCCAACTGATCATCCACTTTGTTCATCTAGGATGGTCTCTGTAGTTAGAGAGGGTTAGATTTTTCTGGGCACAATGGTATTGAAAGACACCCAAGTGTAAGAAATTTCTTATAAAGACTCCTCCACAACATCAGCTAGCTGGGCCTCATCCCACACATCTTCTCAGGGACCTGAACAACCTCTTGGAGTAGACAAAAGCAGATGTCAGAGAAGGAAACTAAGAATGCTATTGAAAATAAGCTTAATGTTCTGTTAAGCCATGTCGAAGCCTATCTAATTGAATGCCTGTTTTACTAATAAATGACAGTCAATTGTGTCATGCCGTATGGTGGTTGGTAGAGATTTAGATTTTGCAAATGGGATGGATTATGGTGGAAAGGAGGAGGACTTCCATTTCATTTGTTTATTCCTTTAGGTTTTTGTCCAAGCGATGCCAAGAAATGTCAGGGACAGTCACACAAAGTAAGTAGACAGCAAGTCAAGTGTCAAGAGGGCTTGTATGTTTGCGTATGTGTGATGGAAGGTCCAACTACCTGTAATGTGCAAGTCATAAAACAATAAAATAGTAGAGCTGGAAGGGACCACAAGTGTCATTGAATCCACCGTTGGAAAAAAAGCAAACAAAGCACCAAGGAGATGCAGGTGTAGGAAGAAAACACCGAAGTAAGGCGAAGTAGCTGAAATCCTGTTTGTGTAGTGTAATATCCCTTTGTAAGTCTGCCAAGATTTATGCCCAGGCAGTCCAGGTTGTTAAACTGAACTGAACAATCAGCGGCATGACTCCCATTTAGCCTGTTGCACGGCACACATGTGGAAGTGCTTTGTGAATAGCACTTTTGTCCAGCTGTGATTTTCGGCACCATTGCCATATCTGTGCATTGCACGTGAGGAGCTATGCAACAGGAATGCAGCTAACAAATTCAGTGGGCAGCCTCTTTTCTGCTAAATGGATATATGATTGCAATGTTAGCCTGCAGCCTTCTACTTGGGTGTTCCTGTCAGCAAGATTGCCTTCAGACATGAGGCTAGTTGATTGCAGTTGTTAGAGAATATGAATCAAAATAAAAGGACACAAGAATTTTGTTGTTATCAGACAGAGAATAAAAGACCCATCTGTGTTCATGGGTACTTTGGCAAATACCTTAGTAAGGCTGCAGTAATGTGTAGTGTTAAAAGATAGGAGATGGCTTGTTCTCAGTGAAACACATTTAGGGTAACTTCCATTTTAAGATATGTATGCTTTTGATTTTTTTTTCTTGTGATGATGAACATGACTTACACAGCTCTGTTTAGTTCATAAGTGCTCCATTGTCAGTGGCTGAAATTGCAAGTAACTTCTCCATCACACAATGTAGGGGTTATGTGGTTGAATTGCAGGTCATCAAAATCTGGAGGTTAACCTACTAGTGAGTGTTAGAAAAATAAATGGCAACACCTCTGGGCTCTATTCACCTTCCTTTTTTAAAAATGTAAGTTTTCTCCTTCTTTATGGGGGCATTACAGTCTCCTCCTCCTTTTTCATGTGGTGCTCATATAAACATACCTCATGAATAAGAATGGTGCCACTTGCGCCAGGTGCAAAAATGGCTAGTTATATCCTGTATGGATATTAGTTTGTAGCATCACACAATACTTTTTTGTTTAATTATGACAACTGCTCAATCACATATACAAATTGTTTTATTTCCATTAATCCATATGGAATAAAACCATAATGGCCATAATCCAATTATAGATTTACACTAGCAAAACTGTAATTACATTGCTCACTTTGTGAATTGCCACTAATTAACAAGTTGCTGCTTACACTCCAAATCGTGTGCCAGCTTCACAAGTTGGTGTGTAACTAGTCAACTTGCTAATTAATGGCAATTTGCTTCTGCAATTTACACAATTACTCTTATGTTGGAACAAATCTTCAATGAAGTTTAGACCAATAAGGCAGTGCTCTCCCTACAGCAGAATCCTACCATCTCAAAATCTTTTTTTGCTGCTTACACTCCAAATCGTGTGCCAGCTTCACAAGTTGGTGTGTAACTAGTCAACTTGTTAATTAATGGCAATTTGCTTCTGCAAATTACACAATTACTCTTATGTTTGAACAAATCTTCAATGAGGTTTAGACCAATAAGGCAGTGCTCTCCAAACAGCAGAATCCTGCCATCTCAAAATCTTTTTTTGTTCGTTTTTTTTTTTTTGAGAAACTTTTTAATAGCTGTGCAAACCAATTTCAAATGCACTGGGCACACTTTTCTGCCTCCTGAAGGGTAATGCATGTGCACAATACTATTCAATTGCAAGTCTCAACTAGAGAGTAGACCCAGTGACTCAACTGCTATATGGGAAGTCTTATGTACATTCCATTGAGTTAATGAGTTCATATTTGATGGGACTAGCAGTAGGATACTAGTCTGTAAAGATGCACACTGCCTGTCTTGTTTACTACAAAGCTACACCTTCTGGTTCAGTTACATTGATATATTTATTTATTTATTTGCTTGCTTGCTTGCCAGCCACCTATTAGTGCAAAGCACTATTCTGGGTGGTTTACAATATATAAAATGGAATACTGTAGACCATAAACAAAACAACAATAACATTATAAATCAAACAGAACTAACAAAAAAAAAAGCAAATTAATTCAGTGATCAAGCTGAGGTAGTCTAACGATGCAATATTAAATGGCAGGGCATGAGGCAAAGAACCTTTCCCAACCCTGGGACTATAACTCCCATCATTCTCAGCCAGCATTGTCAGTTATTGGGAACTATAGGGTTGTCATCTGTATCAGAGGATGCAAGATAAAGAAAGGCTGTTCTACAGTAACGACATGGTTGTTGCAAAGTTGTCCCTTGTCCTACTGCAATGTAAAGGGGAAGCTGATCTCATTGTCCTAAGATTAATCCCACTGTCTGGAAGAGCTACAGAAACCTTGTGTGGAAAGATAATAGGGGCTGATAAATAGTCCTTAAAACAGGATGCATCGATTTATTAATACTCCATTTGACATGTTTTGGATTGTAAGTTCCTTGGGGCCGGGATCACCTGTGTTCAGTAAAGTGGCAAATGGATAGCGACTATAGAAGAAATAATTGGAAAATATGCAAATCCTGGCATAACAAACAGGTTTATTGCTGAATTCTAGCGAGCCACTTTATAATTTAAGCACTGATCCTGGCATAACAAACAGATTTTTATTACTGAGTTCTAGAGAGCCACTTTTCAATTTATGCGCTGACAACAGAAAGTGTGTTTCTGCCAGGAGAATAATTACTGTTTTCTCTCTGTGAGAAGGAAGCAGAGCACAGAAACAATGGGATGTATTTGTAACCAGAATATGCATTATTTTGGCTTCAGTTGTTGGGTTTGTGGTTCATTCTAAGAAGTGAGATTTGCAGGGGTTCTGTTGAACCAGAGCTCCACCTTAGAACAGAGGAAGTAATAATAATGTACCTCTAGGCATATGCAGATTGAATTTCCTTCATCACCAAGTAAGCACAGCTAGTCACTGTATCCTTGCCTTCTGAATCTGTGGATGGTTATCTAGTTAACCATCCACAGGTTCAGTGTTCAAAATATAACTCATGGCAAATGAGGGTGACAGTAGTTATATCCAGCTATTTAGTATGCTGCTTAGAAGTGATATCCGTATCACCTTTATCTTTAAAATCTTATCCGTCTTTTTTGTCCCTTTTTAAAAATAGATTAAACATAAGGCAATCATAGTTCCATCACCACTAACACCACTGGATATAATTCAGCAGGGGATAAAACACACCTGTTTAAATGGTGAGCACTCTAATTTACTTTAATTGTTGTTTCATTTTTACTTCCCAGACTGGTGATTTCATGGGGTGGGGCAGGGTTTTGTTTGTTTTATTTTAATATATTTTATATGGTTTTAATATTTTTAGCTGTATGTTTTTATAATATTTTGTAAACTGCCCAGAATAGTGGCATGCTCACTAAATGGGTGAAGTATCAATTTAAATAAATAAATAAAAGAGACAAATACTTTTTGTCCCTAGACAAAAAACAAACACCTAGTTTTCAATTTCATTTTCCATTTTGCCATTGTTACAGGGATTCAAAGTCAAGAGGAAACTGGAGCTGTCTCATCAGCCAGCCAGGATATTCTGACTGGCTGGTCTGGAACACCACGTTCTCACTCTATTGTAAGTACAGGCCTTTGCAAATTAGTCCTTCACATTGGGTTCCACTTTGCATATGTTAGCACTTCACTTCTTTAGAGCTTTGTACAGATGGATATGCATTAGATAAATCATGGATATATATATATGCATTAGATAAATCATGGATACATACCTTCAATTATTAGCAGGCCCCAACAGTTCAGATACCTCCCCTGCCCCTTTCCCCACGTTTTGTTGTGGCTGTCATTCTATGGGCCATAGAGATTTCCCTTTTATTGGTTTAATTTAGTAAGTGACATAGCGCTACAACAGTACATTAACTTAGCATGAATATTCCCTTTATATCTGAAATACCACTGCATCACTTAGGAGAATATTAAAAATTGTGAGAAGAGGATAGTAGACAGGGTTTCTCTGCTATCCTTTCTATTATCACAACTCACTACATACAGCACACAGTTGTCACCAAAGATAATGCTGCCCACAGCTCTATTTGAAAGGGAGATAATCAACCATACAGACTGCAGAACAGGGCTACCTGGTGTGCTCCCAATCACACCAAATAAAATGTAGCCCAAGTGCTGTGCCGGAAAGCGCTGTGCTCACAAAAGGAATGAGATGGATCACTCTTACTTAAAACACATGTGGTCACCAGAAAATAGGGGAAATCAAACCATACTCAAAGTGAACCAAATAGTGAGCTATATGCTTGTCTCATTGCCCCCATAGTTGGCTTAAAAAATATACTTCCTGACTTTCCTGCATGTGTGTTGTCTATGGGTGTATGTGTGTGTTTGCAACATTTGCATATCATTCCATAATGTAACATTTTCTGGACAATGTACAAAAGAGTAATACAAACCAGTTAAAATATAGCTTAAAGCATAAGAGGCCAACATGAAGGAAACTTGCTTTCTCCTTGCAAGGCTTCCACAAGTGATGGAATCCAGCACTACTGCTCAAGCAGTACTTTCTACTCTGTGGAGGCAAATTGGATACTGGCTGTACACTTTAAGACTAAGGAGCCCATTCTGCAAGAATTATGGAAAAGGCTTGCTGGAACAGAAAGGTCTTTGTCTGGTGTTGAAAAGACCACAAGGACAATGCAAGTAAATTACTCAGGAAAGGCTATAAATGCGGTGCCTGGATATCATCTCCAGCACTTCATTTCACCAAAAGTACTCATAAAAGAGACTCTGAGAAGCTCTGAAGTGCTGAATGGGTATGCAGAAGAGGAGGAGCATTTGATAACCTGGAGTTTTAAGGGTGTAAAGACTGGACATGAGCCAGAAATGTACAGGAAGCCAGGATAACTGTCAAAGAATAGGAACAATTTGGTTAACCCATCTGATTCTAATTGTGCAGTTTGAGAACAACTTTACATCTAGTTGTGCAGTTTGAGACCAACTTTTGTTTTTCCGGATGCTTCCAGATAGAAGGCTCCTAATATGGTAAATTAAAAGCCACTATGCAGGTGTTTCCCTTCTATTTTTTTAGTGTCAAGAAAAAGAGCGATAGGAGGAAAAAATAGATTAAAACTGGTAGGCATTCTAATCTGGATCCACCTCCCTGTGTAATTCTTCAAATGAGGCTGGGGTGGCAACCTTAATGTAACTTTCCAAATTCTGGTGAATCAAAGTATTCCAACATGACCTATAGTTTGATCTACAGAGTTAAAAAAAAAAAAACATAACAGCTGTTTTTCCCTAGTTTTTTTCCTAATACTATCAACTGCATTAGGATTTGTTTTTTAAAAATGAAAAGCATTAAAGAAACAACCTAAATAAATAAATTGAAGGCTACAATCCTAATCATGCTTTCTAAATATCCCATGCTAGTGGAACTTATGGAACAGAATTGCTCTGCACGAATCTCACAACAACATTCAGATTCGCCTTATACACACTACTAATGTTAAAAGCAAGCATGTGCAGAGTGTATTTTTTTTGTCACTAACAAAACACCAGAATAGATTAAGCAATCAACACTCTTTCCAAAAAATTGCACTTAAATCTAAATATTCAGTTAATCGGTGGCTTCATTAGTTTTGTCATGCCACACACGACAAAGAGGAAGTAGCCTTTTAGTATATTTCAGTTCTGACAAGTCATAGTTTACTTGGTTTTAAATTTTCATAAGCCCAGTCGTTACTTTCCATGTTCTAAGATCACATGGGAAAAAGATCTATCTCTCACTAGGTGGTTCCAACTCTCCCACTGCATCCTCTGGCCTTGTCATGTATTGGCAACATGTAATCTGAAATGATGGAAACTATATAGAATGTGCTTTAGGGGCTCCTTGTTATCTAAAATAGGGCAATGGCTGCAGCCCCATTCTCTGCATGCAACCATTGCCCTGGTTGCATGCAGAGAATAATGGAAAGGTTTTACCATCATGAGAAAAAGATATCAGAGAAGAAAATTTAGAATTTGAGCAAGTTCCAGAAGTGTGACACAGATCTATATATGTTCACTCTTCCTGACTGCCATGATCTGAGTTATCCAGAACCTCTATGGGTATATTATTAATCAACTTATCTGCTAAACAACTTTCCCCCCCTTTTTCTGTTGTAGCGAATGTAGGCAGAAAAGAGTGAAGCGCTACCTTCTCACCTTTAATTGGCTGTGAACTTATGGTAATACAGAAAATGAGAGAACCTTTCGGTCTGATAATTTATCATCGTCTGGAAAAGCAGAATTCAAATGTGTGTGTGTGTGGGGGGAACCCACACACATTAAAAAGTTTTGCCAACTCTATGCAAAAATGGCTTATATTGTACCTGTGAGTACTGTAAGTAGTCTAGAAAAGATGCATCTCACGATGTAGGCCAGAGTCAAGTCCATGAGCTCCAGTTCTCCATACTGTCTCTAGATGGCCCCACATGGGCCAAGAAGCATGCTGTAAAATTATTAACATACTGTACTAGCCATGCTAGAAAAAGAAAAGGCAGAGTAAGAAACTGTGTTGCTACCTGGTAATAAAAGGAGGCAATTAAATATATAGTTGGTATTGGGGAGAGAGGGATAAAAGAAGGCTGGAAGGAGAAAGGGAAACTGAGAGAGTAGAGTGTGAGGAGAAGAAAGCAGAGAGAAAAAGATAAAAGAGCAGAAAAAGGAAGATGAGAAACGGGGAACTGGTGTGAAGATGTAATGCCTTCATGAGTGTGTGTGTCCCCCCAGAGGATATCTTGCTGAGGTTCCCCTCAAACTTGACAGTACTATTGGAGGAGGGGGCCACACTATTCTTGGAAAAATCCATTTTGCTTTACAGGTTTCCTGCCCAGCAGAGCACAAGTTGTGGGTTTGCATGTATACCCAGACCTGAGCTGTAGAGACCGACTGAGGGTCTTCGCAATGTGCTGCTCCTCACGTCTCTCCTGTGAGATGGTGGCAAAGGTGTTGATAATCTTCAGAACGGTTTTTCGGGGAGATATCCATGTTCCTAACCAACACCACCTCATCAGGAAATTCTCAGAATCTTCATGGCCACCCTAATAATCATAAGGCTGTCCAGGTCAAATCACAAACTTCTAATCTCTAAGTACAATTCCAAGTGTCTGCTTTTAAAGCTCTATACAATTTAGGCCCCAAGTACTTGAAGAGACACCTGCTGTCATACCATGTTTCCCTGAAAATAAGACAGGTCTTAAATTATTTTTTTGTTCCAAAAAAACGCATCAGGGCTTATTTTCAGGGGACGTTTTATTTTTTTCCCCCATGTACAACAATCTACGTTTATTCCTAGACAGTCATGTCATCTTCTCCTGGTTGCTGCACAGTGGTGGAGGGCGGGGTTTCACTTAACTGGGGCTTATTTTTAGGGTAGGGCTTACATTACGAGCATCCTGCAAAATCATACTAGGGCTTATTTTCAGGTTAGGTCTTATTTTTGGGGAAACAGGGTAGTAACCTTTCTGTGTACCAAGAGAATTTTCAGAAGCTCCCTTCAATGTATCGTAGTCATTGATAGGCAGGTGGGAGATAACACAGCCCCACTTACAGAAAACTTCCCTTTAAGAAAACGTGCCTGGTGCCAACATGACTTTTTTGTGGAGGTAAGTAGGGATGTTTTCAATTTTCTAAGGTGCTTTAGTAACAGGACAAGGTGTGTATGTGTATATATGTGTGCCCTAACTGAAATCTATAAGCACTGCCTTACTCATCTTCCTCAGTTTTATCCAAGCTAATATAACTTTCTGAAGACAGTAGTGAATTGGTAAAAGGGCTGAGCCCCACTGTTATTCAAGCAGTGGGACTTTATAGATTAAAAACAGCTTCTGAATTATGCATATAATCAAAAATTAAGAAGAAAATCTTAAGAGGGCTGCAGTGATATATTCCCAGTTAGCATACTAAGTTTTGCACCAAAGGTATTTTCTACACACACAAAACACCTTGAAATATAACTGGGAAGTTATCAAGACAACGCTGTAGAAGTAGCATTGGTGGAAATTTAGTAGTAAATTGCAACTAGTGTAAGCCCATTGAATTGGGGGTTTTGTGAGTCATCACCTATGTAACAGGCCTACTCTAATTCCAATTTCTACTGGATTTTAGCCATTATATATCTTTTTAATTCCATTTCCTAGTTCTAGAGAATGAATTTCCCCAGCTCAGCATTTAAGGTACCCTGCCCCATTCCCTTCATTCTAAATAATCAGACAATGAAGAGAAAAAATGATGCGAGAGTATAGCCAACTTTGTTTTTAATTAGTTATATGTATACTTCCAAACTGGATACACTAGAAATTGGCAATGCAACGTAAGATGCAAAGAAATATACCAGTTACTGTCAAAATGACCCTGTACAGCCTTATAATGCAAAAAAGCTTTATACAATACAAATTTCCATTAATGTACACAAACCTTGACAGTGTGAGATTTGAATATGATACAGCAAGTTAAAAAGGACAGGAAGAAGCAAGAAAAGTGCTGAGAATGTAACCAAATTGCTGTATGCAAAACAAGAAACCAGCCTATCTTAAAGAATGCATAGTGAACAAAGCAGATACAGAGTGAGCCTCTTGATAGAAATGTTAAGTCTTTTAACAAGCAAAGGATATCTATAGGGAGCATTCCTGTCTTTAGGTTCAAACAGCAAACCAATTATTGTGTATGCAAGGGCTTTGATAAATACTGTATTTTTCCTTAAAAAAATAAAAACACCTCCAGATGCATTTTCTCTCACACACACTCAGAAATCATGTATAACCTTCCAGAAATAATTCATTGTTCAAAGTGCTAAATAAAGCTGCCCAATTACATTAAGCATTACTATGACAAATACAAAAGGAAAATGGTTAAACCCAAGGCATTAAGTTGCTTACAGCATCATAATACTCTCATTCCTTGCAGTTCCTATGTATATTGCACCATTTGGTTTACAGAAAATATTTTTTAACATTCCTATGCATGCTTAGCTTGCCTGCTGACAAGTTACGTAGTATCATTTTTAATAGGGTCACTAGGAAACACCTTGAATATATTTTATTAACTGCAATAGCTGCTCATCAATTCCACTGTTCTTGCTATATAGCAGTGGTACCCATTCAGACTTTTGGACAACAACTCCCATGGTCCCTTACCACTGTCCATGCTGGATGGGGCTGATTGGAGTTATAGGCAAAAACAGGGATTTCCCTACACCTGCTCTAAAGGGGTTTAAGAGCATTTTTTTAAAAAAAACATTCTGGTTTATAAATTATCTGCTAGTGACTGGCAAATCCTTCTTCAGTGTTATCTCTAATCTTATGATTCTTAGCAGTGGGCATAACAGTCTGTTCAGGGGCAAGGCTGTGGATCATTAAGATTACATCAAAAAGGCATATCCGCCCCAACATACAAAATAGTTGAGATAGATGGGAAATTAAACTCTAACTCTCTCTCTCTCTGCCTGCAAGCGTTGCTGCAGCAGTACCTATGATGCAGGAAGTGGGTCAGATCTGTCATATTTATGCAGAAGTCAGCCTACTGTATTGACACAGCTTGCTGCAACATCTCATGCACACAGATACAGTGATGCAGCAGGCTCTGCTGCTGACTTTTAAGATATTACCCTCCAAAACTCTAAAGCAGGGGTCTCAAACTCAATTTACTTGGGGGCCGCTGGAGGCAGAGTCTGGGCTGCATCAGATTTTCCACCAAGTGGAGCAAGAGCCCAAGGAAGCTGCCCAGGAGTTTCCTTAGCCCGGCTGGGGCTCCGAGGAGGAGGGGCGTGCGAGCCCTCATTGCCGGCCACGACCCTCTCCCCGGCTCCTCCTTCACTACCACCAGCAGCAGCAGCAGGATAAAGAAGTGGAGAAGGGAGAGAGCGGCAGCAACCGCCTAGCTGGGGGGGGGGGACGACATAAAATTTTTTAAAAAATCTCACAGAATCACCTTGCCGGAGGAGAAAAGCCCCCATCGGTACCTGCAAAATTAAACAGAATGGGGCAGGGCCCCAACAGTTGTGTGCACACGCACACACACAGAGGCACTGTCTTGGGAGAGAGCCAGCAAGCGAGGCGAGGCATTTTATTTTATTGAAAGCAGAGGACACGTGGGCGCTTCGGGGGGCAGGCAAGGCGGGGGCCACAAACTATCATTCAGCGGGCCGCAAATGGCCCCCGGGCCGCATGTTTGAAACCCCTGCTCTAAAGTATCATCTGTTCTGCCTCATGACAGTTTTTTTCCTTTGCCAGGCTACATGGTGATGCCCTTGCCACACAGTAAAAGACAAAGACTCTTGCTATGCATCAGCTTTCCATCACATGTTGGTGGAGGCATGCCAGTGGAATGTCACAGTTCATGACACCATACTGACCTTATCATAATCAGAGTTTGGAACTTCTTTGGACTACAACTTCCAGAATCCACAACCTTCCATGATCTCTGGGGATTGGGTGGGCGGGGAGAGTTTGCTGCTCAACAAAGTCGTTTTTTCCAAATGCTAATGTTGGTTAAGTGCCCGCTCATGAGATGTCACCCAAAGAACAGACTTAATACAGTTAAGTGCAATGAACAGGGCCTTAAGCCATCTGTGTTAGAAATAATTAAAACAACGCTTTATTTTACTGTTAATAGGGTAGCTGGGTGAGGCCACATGTTGGTTAAACCACTGTGTGGACTCTTGCAACTTTGACAGCAGTGTATTGTAATTTCCTAATATTTAGGGCACTGTTCTCCTTGCTCTCTATTGTAAACCCTTTCTTGGCTTTGAATTCTTACATAGATCTGCATTTCTTCCCATGTATTTGGAAGAAGCTGGATGTGCTGATGACAGACAAAGATCATCAGTACACAGGAAAGATAAAGGTTAAACCTTGGGAAATGTTACCAGTTGACTTAGATCATCTTATTAGGAATGCAACATTTGCTTCTCACTGCAATAAAGTGCAATATTTATGTCATTTTAATGACCACAAAGTAAGAGTTTAAGAAAATATAAAGTTAGCTTGCTAAAAGAGCATACTTGAATAGGCAGTAACAAAACAATATAAAGGAATACAAATAACATGAACGATAATGTTTATAGGGTCACAACATTTGCCAATACAGTTGAACAATTGGGCATATAAAAGAGAATTGTATGATTTAACAGCACCGTTTTCTCTGATTAAAAGAACTCACCATGAACTTTTCAAATATACAATCTGATGTTTCTTCAGTCAACAGAAGAAACATTTTCATGTCTATACTTTTTCTTTTCTTATCATTATTTATTTATTTTTTTGCTAGTGATAAACATACTAGTGCAAGACTCAAGCACTGTGCAAAACCTGCCTTTATTTAGTCTGAGCATTTATACCCAGAATTTAGAAAACCCTTCCTTTTTAAAAAAACAACAACAACCCTTTCCTGGATTAAATCACTGTAAAATGTACACTCTTGTCTTCTGCAAACCAAGGTAACCATTGCACTGAGACAGCCTGAGAATATGTATGTTTGATCTCCTGATCTGCAGGCTGCTGGCGATGATCCCACCCTGCCATCCCCATGCCGTTATTGACCTTGCATCACTTCTGAATGGTGCACGTGTCTTTAAATCACCTCTTTTCTTAGCAAACTAGACAGACGCACGACAGGGAGATGATCAAGTTTCTCTCTCCAGTTATTTTACAGAGAAAAGCAGCAATTTAAATGCAACGTATGTGTCCCATTTCAAATGGATGCCCAGCATGTGTACCTGGCTCTTGGATATCTGTACTCAAGTACAAAAGGTATTGTGAGAAGTGGCCCTGACTGAGTGAGACCCCAGGAGACTTTCTGCATGCGTGGAATGCACTTGATATTTATAGGTCTAGCCTCCTCCCTCCTATGTGTTACTGCTCCATGCCCAGAGCCACTTCACACATTTTTTTCTCCTGCATAGATATAACCTCTGTTTTGGAGTATGCAGATTCATTGGAACATTTCAAAGGGAGAGCAGAAAGCACTTGTGGGGCGGGAGTGGGGACATGACTACAGCCACTGGGCAGTATGTACGTATGCTCCGTGGCTACCCAATTTGTCTGCAAAAAGAAAAAAAACATTTGTGTTGTCTGTGAAACAAAACTACATTGTCATTTGCCCACACAAAGATCAACTCCATGTGGGAAAGCTGCGATGTGTAAATCAGCCTGCACTTTGCATGGCTAAAAATAATTTCCTATTGTCTAGTTCTGCCCTGGTCCTTGTATTTCTCAGATCAGAGGCCAAATATAACTATTTCTACAGCAAATTTCAAGCAGCACTGACTGGTGTGCTAGTTCTCTTTGATCTGAGCATTGCTGTTTCCATATTCTGATAGCTGCAAAATAAAGAGAAGCAGGCAAAGTGGTGAGCATGGGAAACTGCAATAATTATCACCAGGGTTAGGGCTGTCACTCAGGTGGTGGAGCGCATGCTTTACATGTAATAAAGGACCCCGATTTAATTCCCAACATCTCCAGTTAAAAGACTCTCAGGCGGAGAGATTGCGAGGAAGTGCTGCCAGTCAGAGTGGATTATACTGGGCTAGATGGACCAAGGGTCTGACGTGGTATAAGGCAGCTTCATGTGTTCATATTAAATAAGCCAGTACAAAAGGATGTGCAAAAGTAATGTTTATGGCACACTGACTCTCTTTCAGACACGCTCATGCTCACAAACTCAAAGTAAAATGCATCAATACGTCATCTTAGCAAGTGCTGATTGCCATTAAGGACACTCTTGTTCAGCTTAAACAAGACAAAATAGTTTTCTGTTTTTAGTTTAAGAGTACTGGGAACATGCTTCTGAGGATAGAAGTATGCAGGAGGTCACCTCTCTGAAGTCTGAATGAAGCAGCCTTGATCTCAACGTATTACGGAGACACACAGCCATTTCTTTTTTTTTTTTCCTACTCCTTACTACGAATGTTCTATAGTACAAATGTTCAGCCAGCCATACCTCTTGGATGTATGGTTTGCAGCAATGCATATATACCTGCTGGGTATCTGTGGTGTATGTTCGGTGGGGGGGAGACAGGGAGGTTGGTGGAGTATTTTTGGTACAGAACACAGCTGCCCTCAGACAGTTTTTGCCCTCTCAGTGAGTCCCAGATAGGCGAGGAAGGAGTGCTTCGGCGAAGATGTGTCACCCAGGCGTAGAGTCTGTGGTCTGGGTGCATGGAATGTGATCTCAAAGTGGTTCTTGGGGAAGAACATAGTTAAGGGAATGAGGTGGGCGAAGTCAGAGTTTCGGTACTTGTCAAAGTACAGGGAAGTGCCGTTTATGGCCAAGGCCTTAAGTGCCAGGTTTGGCTCTACCCCGCTACCGTGCACGGCTGACATGGCCACCGTCTGCAGTGCCTGGGACGCAGACATCACTGAGAGAGGTGACAAGAGGCTTCGGGGACTGTTGGTAGCAAGGAGAGGGCTAGCTTCCTTGGAGTTTGCCCCCTGATTCCTCTTCTCCTCTTCAGAGCAATCCCCATTCTGGTGCTTCTTCACATGGCGGCTGAAGACAAAAGGGTGGGTCGTCTTGAAGAGGCACTCTTCGCAGCTGAAGGTCTGCCGGGGAGCATGCTTGAGCTTCTTGTGCAAGTTAAGATTGTCTTTGCGCTTGCAGCTGTAGCTGCACTGGTCACAGTGAAAAGGGCGCTCCCCAGTGTGTACGCGCACATGCTCAATCAGCTTGTTGGCCGTCTTTGAAAGATAGCCACACTGGTCACACTTGTAATGGTTGCCAAGGCGATGCTCCCGGATGTGCATTTCCAGTTCCAGCTGATTGGCTTTCACTGCCTGGCAGATCCGGCACTTGTACTCCATTTTGTAGTGGGTCTTCAAATGGCACTCCATTGCTGCAGGACGGTTTGTGGAGTAAATGCAGAATGGGCACCTACCGAAAACCAAAGAAATATTGAGACAGGAGCCTAAGACAGATCATCCTTCCAAATGTTTTCCATTCTACAAAATCATCTCAGCCTTTACCTGACTGTTGCTACAAAGAAAATGGCAAAATGGAACTGAATGCATCTTAAGATACAAATACAGAGTAAGAATATAGCATACTTGGTTAATATGAAACTTCTAAATATCTTCTGTCTGTACCAGAGCCCAAATGGCAGCTAGTCCTGCTGAGGCCATTGCTTCACAGGTTTTGGGTTGGGACTGGTATACAGTAAGACATGGTACCCTACTGATGCTGACTTCTCTTTTTACTTCTCTCCACTCAACCTGCCTTCAAAAATGTGCTTGCTTTTGTCACCTCCTGACCTGTTTTCCTCTTCATTTGTTGAGTGCTGCTTTCAGAGCTGTGTCTTGGGCAAGGCAACGGCTTCTGGGAACATCTGAGTCATTACACTCAGGCTTGTGGGTGAAAGGGCCCCAAGGCAGTGCAAGCACCTCACCTCTTTCCTTCACAAACAGTGGCAAATGCCGGTTCAAGGCTGCATCAAATTTAAAGCCACAGCTTTTAACATTTTAAACAGCAGCACCAACCTTCCCCTTGTCTGTAGTAACTCAGTATTAGGGAGGACCCTCTCCTACAGATGAGATCCCAGAAGGAGTAGAATCAACCAGTGTTCTGAACTGGCAAGTACCATTATAAACTGAACGGTATTTCTGGCCATAGGAAAAGCAATGCTGGCATTCGGTGGCTGTTTGCCAGGCAGACGATGAATGTGTGTCTGTACGATCCTCCACATCTGCAGCTGCCTAAGCCAGGCAGCTCAGTGCTGCATGTGGAAGGGACACCCCCCTAGATTTTTGCTGCCCCATTCAGAATACTGTTCTTGTTTTTGTCTCTTATGGTACCTCCCATAAGGAGTTTGATTCACCCTGGTCTAGCCAGCCCTGGGTTTCTTAAGAGATGAAAGAGCAAATTAGTCTTTTAACTAAGTTGACAAACACGTGGGTGATGAGTTTAAAATGGAATATCTTGGGCTGCTCCAGGCACCCTGATCCAGCCAGGGATTCTGCAGTGTAAGCATGAATCCAGGTCAGCATTCATGCGTGCTACATTACTCTTGATGGAGACATCTGCTTGTGGGCAGTGGATACTCATTCGTGCCCTAGGTTTTTGGGGCCAGTAATGACACACAACAATTTGTTGTGCATGATGAGAGGTGGCGTGGGGCCAAATTACTGTGCACCTGACACAGCTGCATCCTGATCTACAGACTGCAGCGCCATTTCGGGGGCCTGCTGAGGGGTACGGCTGACGCCTGCCGGGTATTTGCATATCTTTCAGAGACGTGACCAACCCCCTGGGGATTATGTCACCTTGAGTCCTTTACACTAGAAAGATGAGCCAAATGTTTTATAAATGTATCAAGTAATTTGAAAAATGTGAGGAAGAGTTCGCAGTATTTCACCCTTGAAGGGAAGTGCCATTATTTGAACTTATTTCAACTCTCACAGGAAAGCAAGGTTGTAAATGTAAGAAAATGTTCATTGGTGGAGAAAGAAGGAAAAGGAACAGGTGACAGCCACACACAAAGTGTATTGGAGAGTGTTTAAAAAGCAGCACCTCAAAGGGAACAAAAACCATTACTACCATCCTGAACATAACTTATTCTTCTGGTTTCCAAAGCTAAGCAGAGTGAGGCCTGGTTAGAAGTTGGGTGGGGCAGAGTCTTGCCTAAAATCCTTGGAAGTGGCTACTAATCAGGGCTGACAACTCTAGGCTAGATGGACCAATGGTCAGATTCAGTATAAAGCCACCTACTATGTTTCTACGTAACAAATCTGGCCTCCTAGAGAAGGGCGCCTTCCATGCTTTCAGATGCTGCAGACCTCCATTTTCAATGTCAGAGCAATACTGCTACCCCCTTAAATGGGCCAAAGCAGCAGTTCCCAAGCATGGGTGGTAACCCAGGTGTTATTGGACTGCAGTTCCCAGAAGTCTTCACTATCAGCTGTGCCGGCTGTTGTTTCTGGGAGTTGCAATCCAAGAACATCTGGGTTACCCAAGATTGGGAACCACCGGACTAAAGGGATGGCTCTTGCATACAGGGGTTTTGTGTATCCACACAGGACAACTAATAGAGTTCCATCTCATTCACCTCTAGTCAACAAACAACCAGCAGTTGATGGGAACAACTTTTCTCTGTGACCTGAAGGATTCTTCCTGACACCCTGGAGAGATGCTACTGGATCAGAATAAATAATACTAAGCCAGATGGACAACTGTCTGGCTTCACAGAAAAAAGAGCATTCTGTGTTTTTTGGCATTAGAAAGATAATGTCTGGAACCCTATTCCCAGTTATATTGGTATAAATATACACTGGGATGCGGGTGGCACTGTGGGTTAAACCACTAAGTCACTGGGATGTTGAACAAAAGGCTGGCAGTTCAAATCCACCTGACGGGGGTGAGCTCCTTTTATTTGTCCCAACTCCTCCAACCTAGCAGTTTGAAAGCATGCAAATATGAGTAGATGAACAGGTACCATCTCAGTGGGAAAGTAACGGCATTCCGTGTCTAGTCATGCTGGCCACATGACTACATGACCACGGACAAGTACCGGCTCTTCAGCTTACATACAGGGATGAGCACCAGCCCCTAGAGTTGGACAAAACTGGACTTAACTGTCAATGGGAACCTTTACCTTTACCTGAAGCAGAAGTCAATACTGACATTTGATGTTGCCTACCAAATCATGTGATTCAGCACGCAACTGCAAATGCCTACACTGATTTCTCAATTTGTGGCAATCTGCCACCAATATTTATACCAATTACATTATGTCAGCAGGTATAGCTAATAGGATTCTTCCGATTGATTTAATGTTTATCATTATCATTAAGTGCATGCTTGGCACTTTTACTTCTGTTAAATATCATAAGGCATTTACAGTATGAGGTTACAAGTAAGAAGACCTGTTCTTAGCATCACCCATTCAGAACTTGGAAAAGTTACATGCTAGCTGGGGGATTCTGGGAGTTTTAGACTTTAAAAAGTGATTTTTCCAAGCTACGAATCTGCTAACATTATTACAGTATTATTATTATT